ATCTATCTATCTATCTATCTATCTATCTATCTATCTATCTATCTATCTATCTATCTATCTATCTATCTATCTATCTATCTATCTATCTATCTATCTATCTATCTATCTATCTCTATATATCTATATATAATATTCCCATTGGCAAAACTTTGTTGGTGCTGCCACATTGTATATATAAAGTTTTAAAATAATTAAGTGGTTCTGAAAAAGTTGCCCTGAAAGTAGTACATTCAGCAGCACAGCTTGGAAATTGTTTACTATAGTTTTTGGGTGGTTTTTTTTTTTGTAAAACAATTAGTCAGCTGAGCAAGGTCACTGAATCATAAACTTTCCTGGCAGCTGAATTATGTCTTGATTATGACTTGTAAATATAGTGATGATTATGACTTTTAAATATAGTGATGATTTGTGTATATCTGATCATTTGTACTTTTTGTAGTTCCAATATCTTTGTAATGCAGTCCTCAGAGTTTCTAGGAGTCTAGGTTTTCAAATCTTTGGTAGTAGAGGATTGTTTGTACAGCTTCTGCAAAAAACGTTAATCAAAAGAAAAATAGTGGCAGCCTGCCAGATTTCAGGTTATAGATTATCTGGAGTTACAAAGACTGCAGGAAGATTGTTTACAGACGGATGAGAGGTGAAAATTGGTAACAGTTATGAATATGGGGAGACAGGTCACAACACACACATGAATGCAACATTCAGAACAACATTGTTCCATGTTACACCATGCACCAAAAACCTACTACACTGATATAATGTAGCAGAGCCAAGCCAAACTCAAGAGCTGGGAGGGGGAAAGAAAAAGAAACAGTGCAGAGAAAAGATGCAAAAGTAATAGATTTTCCTCCACAGATTTTTAACTGGCAAATGGCTGGGTGAGCACTTAGAACATTTATTATTTTTCATGCATCTAATAATATGCATAGGGGCTAAGAAAATCATTTTCTTTAATATATTTTTACTTTTAACAACTTTGATATTTGAGAGATGCATTCTTAGATTTTTTAAACATGCCTTGTTAAAGGCTATAAGCGCTTGTATTTTTAGAATGTAACATGTTATTTTGGTTTTTTATTGTACTTTTTATGCTCCTGTATTTTGGATTGATTTCTATTTAAACAGATGTCTATACAGTATTTTTTTTATTTTGCTATAAGATTTTGTATTTTACAACAATTCTGAAATATTTTGTGCATATGGAACATGTAGGCAGATAAAGCTTGTAGAATTAGACTACCTGATGTTGGCTGGAATTGTTGCAACAATGAAAAGACGTGTACCTTGATATGCGGATGAATATTGAAAGGATTGGCAGCCATTGTTTACTTCCATTCTGGAATTAATCCTTTTTTTAAATAATGAGGAAGAGGCTTCTGACTGTTTCACTATAAAAATCTGTAGGACTCTTAGGGAGGATATGGCATCAGGTTTATCTGATCTGAAAGTTATTGACTGCTTAAAAACAAGGCTGAATTACAAGACTCTCATTCAAAATTTCATTTTAAACTGTGCAGTTGTTCAGTCAGCTTCTGATTTCTGCCCTCTCATCTTGATGAATTTGTAGACCAGTCTTAGCTATGGAAGATGGAGTGGCTCCACTGCCTGCCTGCAATCACAAACTGCTTCCCACCACTCCAGGTAAAACAGAGAAGGTGCCTTGGGTCAGTACATTGTCCTCAAGAAACCTGAAACAGACCTGCCCACTCAGAGTGTGTGTGTGACTATTACCTCCCTCTTGCTCAATTGTGTTTCACAAAAGTATGGCAGACTCAGCATTCCTTCCTCAAGACTGTCCCAGTCTGTCCTAAATCCCCTTTTGCATCTCCATATGCTTCTGGGGATGTGGTGGTGCTGTGAGCTAAACCACAGAAGCCTGTGCTGCAGGGTCAGAAGACCAAGCCGTCGTAAGATCGAATGCACACGATGGAGTGAGCGCCCGTCACTTGTCCCAGCTCCCGCCAACCTAGCGGCTCGAAAGCATGCAAATGCAAGTAGATCAATAGGGACCACCTCAGCGGGAAGGTAACAGCGTTCCGTGTCTAAGTTGCACTGGCCATGTGACCATGGAAGATTGTCTTCAGACACAACGCTGGCTCTATGGCTTGGAAACGGGGATGAGCACCACCCCCTAGAGTCAAACACGACTGGACAAAAATTGTCAAGGGGAACCTTTACCTTTATGCTTCTGGGTGGCCTTTCAGGAAGTTGGTTCCAACTGGCTCTTGCATGTGCACACCCACATGGAGAAACCTTTTCATGCACGCGCAGCAGCAGTTTTTTGAAAGACATAAAACTGTTTCCATTCTTGGAGGATTTGGAAAGGGTGTGATGGTGATGAGTCAGTGCTGGGAGGAAAAACCCATAGAAACCACCCAAAACAAATGTATATGATCAGCTGTTTTGGACATTATAATCATGCCACAGATTTAATATGATCAAGGCACAGTGATTACAGAAAAAAATAAACACTGATTTATTTTTTTAAAAAGAATGAACAGAAGACTTCTGACGATTATTCTAGAAGTAAGCCAGCTCATCGTGTTTCGCTTTCTTGCTTTGGTGACTGGTGAGTGACAGTGGCTTGTTTTCATGAGGAAGGCTTTCGAACACTCGCAGGTGAAGGTACTCCTCGTTGCCAACATGGACCTGGAAGGTAAGAAAAACAAGCTATGGGAAATGAAGGTCCTGAGAAGATCCAGAACACATAAGCCACGAGAGGGAGACTGGTTTGGTTCTATGCCACAGTTGGGGGAGCGCTGGCCCTCCAGCTGTTCCGAGAAATAAATTTCCATCAGTTTGAGGGCACGACTACACAGATTCATTCACTGTGAAGTCACACCCTGTAAACTGGCCACACAGGGAGGAAAAAGAAATTGACTAAACAGCCTGTTAGCATAGCTGTTCTGTAGCCCAGGAGAGGGTGGAACTACAAAATAACTTCTTAAGAAGTTGTTAACAGGACAGAGTGCCAACTTCCTCATCTCCTTTTTAATCTTGTTTCTCCACCCTATCCCGCATTGCTTCCCCTTAGCATGTGGCAGATATATGGGGGCAAAACCACACACACACACAACCCAGGTGGTGAATGCTACTACCTGATCCATTTTAATTCCATCACAACTCCACTGAGGCCTAAACAGAACATTGCTGCTGTATATCAGTGCCACAAAGACATTGCGGGGGAACAAAAATGGCAAGCAGAAATGTCCACCGCCGAGATTTGTTTGTTTGCTTGTGTTGCTGTAACATGTCTGTCTCATGGTGAGGACAGGTAAGCAGAGTCACGACCTGAAACTGTCTTGTTGACCAAAGTGCTACACCAGCTCTTCTTTCACTGCCCAGAAAGAGGGCTTCTCCTCCCCAACACAGGTAGATGACGATCAGTGTGATCTCACAGGAAAGGACATTTCTCCATTCCACACCCCTACCCCTGAAGGAATGTCCTCACAACTTCAGCTGTGGTCACCTCAAAGATCCTCAAGGTATTGTCCATGATATATAAAGAAAAGGGAATGTGTTGTATGGAGCCTTAGTGGCAAGGTATCCTACCTTGATGAAGTAGTTGGTACCAGCCACTACCTGTGTTTTAAACTCAACGGCATCGAACACATCAAAGGCCTTGCCTTCTTTTTCTTCCACTTGTGCCTTCACCTTAGGACACAGAAAGAGAGAAAGGAGAGTTTTGCCTGCTTTTCGAGCAACTGCACTTGTGTATCCAATACAACGTCAGCCCCATGTGCTCTCCTATGCAAGTGTACTCTTTTGGAAGAGCAAGAGCTGCCACAAATGACCTCCAACACCATCTCACACCCAATTATTTTTCAAAGAGAGGCTCCTCACACATACAGGAAAGTGTTGTAGTCAATAAAAGCTCGCACTGAAATAAAACGTGTCCATGTCAAAGATGTCCTGAGTCCTTTTCTTTCTGTTTTCATGATATATGTTGAAACTGGTTGATGTGGCTACCTCTTTGACACCTGTCCCACTGGGTTTATGCTTCAGCAAGTTTGCCCTCGTCATTACTGTCGTCAAGAACTCATTTAGAACTACAGCAATGTTAATTAGCTTCTACTTCTAGAGTCTAAGGGTAGACCCTGCGGAGAAGGCACACAGACATATGGACTAGACTACAGCTGTATGGCCGATGGAATGGACTACAGACCTACGGAAGAGAATAGCATACCTACTGAATGGAATGTAGAAAATCTTTAGAAATGTTTTCTAAAAGGCTATGGCGGCTAATTTTACATACTATAACTTCATTTTGTACCATTCTTGTAGAATGATTTGCCTTTGATTCTTTGTGTACTGAACCTCACTTTTGTGGATATTCCCTGTTTATCTGCTGCAGTTTGAATAAATGTTCAGGTTAATTGCACCTGTGAACAGCCTCAGATCCTCTCCGGTTAGATCCTGTTACCCAACTCGGCAAACACTGAACTTATTGGATTTAGAAGGAAAGGAGAAAGAGACTTAAGCAGCAGCAGCAGCATACAGAGAACCCATAAACTCCTGACAGCTTTTCCATGCAGTTTCCTGTGTACATGAAATAGGATTGGAGGAACAGACAGCGCTTGAGGAACTGACAGCCACTAGATCACAAAAGCATCCATTTGCCACTCCCAGAGGAACTAGAGACAATACCCTTAAGCCCTTGAGAATATCTGCTGGGAGGTCATCCAGAACCAACTGGAGTACACTCCTTGCCAAGGTTCTTGTGTTGATGTGCCACTAAAATGATCAAAGCTATCTCTTTCCCATAACCAGGTTTGGAGCCAGACTGAATAGATCTAGATAATCCGTCTCATCCAGGAATTTTTGGAACAATGAATCCATCTACCAATGAGATGTGGGAAGTTGAACATTGGCTATCTCAACCCCCACCCCACACCCACATAGTACATGGCCAAGACTGCATTAAACCAAGAGAAACATACAAAGTTGCACACTCTGCTCTTTAGAGAAGTTTGGAAATTGCCCAAGGCCAGCAAGAATCATTTGTTCTTATCCGAAAAGGCCAGGCCCTTGGATGTGGTGGGTGAGTCACAGCCATCTCCAGTCCCGAGGCTTTATTTTTGTCCCAGACAATTGTGCAATTCCTGGGAGGGGGAGGGAAAGGACAAAAGAGGAACTGAAAGATTTCAGAATATTTTGAACTTTCACTGCAATAAGTTACCACCTATCTTGTCTCCATAGGATAAAGCTTTAACCCTAGAAGTGTACGATAGAAGGCAGGTTTAGATATGTTAAAACAAATCTTCTGCTGTGAGGTTTTTTTTCATGTATTTCCCCTCAGTGGCAAACAACCCCTCCTATAAAAAATCCATTCATAAACAAGATAAACCAGTAGACTAGGTATCTGGCTGCAGTGCAAGAAATTTGGAGTTCAGTTCCCCACTGTGACTCCTGCCAGTACAACCAGCCTGGGTGGCCTTGGGCTAGCTGTACAGTCCTAGGGCACCTCCAGAAAAAGGGAAGGGTAAACAAACTGCTATGTATTCTCTACCTAGAAAACCAAGGGAAGGATCCTGGTAAGTTAGAGTCGACTTGACCGCACATAATTATTATTCTTTTATAAGTAAAAGGTTCAGATGCAAAGACCGGCACATGCCACACCTTCAGAGAGGTGATCATTCTGATCAAAGGGACAAGGGACCCTGCATCTGGGGGCTTGCTACCTTTGAGAAGACAAGCCTCTGAGTTGCCAAAAACAGTGCCTTGAGCCCCCTTGAAGGCACACTCATTTAAACTCTGGTGGACTTCGCCAAATACCCACCCACCTGCACCAAAACAATCTTAGGCCAGGTCAAAAGTTTTAGTTAAGACGATGCCCCTAGTCTTTCTGACAACACTCGAATTACGGGGAGGGGGGGAAGAGAACCTCCTTACCGTTCGTGACAACCCCCTTGGCTACTATCTTTTGAAAACGGTTTTTTTTGGGGGGGGATTGGGCTGATTAATTTCATGCCAGGCGACCCTTGGCATCTGTCGCCTCGCGTACCAGGGAAAGGGACCAGCGCGCCTTTACGCTCAAAGGCGCCAGCATCCTTACGCTCCCGCGCAACCAGCGCTGGACGAGGCTCGGTTCCCTTTTTCCGCGGGTTTGCTCTCGAGGAAGCCGCTCCTCCTTTCCCTTACCTCTTTAGCAATTTGCTGCGTCTCGGCGGTGGCCGGCTTGGCCTCGCTGGTCCCGCCGCACTTCATCATCTCTGGGAGGGTAAAAACGAGGCCCACTTCGGTGTCGAGACGCAAGCCGGAGACGCCCCGCTGCGGCCTTCCCGCACCTTTTTGTAATCCGGCGATCCGCTGACTAACTATCACCTGATCGCGCCAGGAAGGGGGAGATCGGGCACGACGGGCGGAAGGCGTGCGCCGGGGTGGGGGGGAGAGAAAAGGAGTGACGCCGCTCCTTGTCTGAGCGAAGCGTTTCCGGATTTGAAAACGCTTCCGTGGGAGTGAGTGGGAGACGCCCAGGTGAAATCTGGGTGTCGCTGTGGGAGAGGTGGCTGCGTTAGGCTGGGCAAACAGATCAGGCAAAATCCAAAGAAAAGAAACGAAAACAAAAGACCAGCTATTATATTTTAATATTTTAACTATTATATTTTTACTTAGAAATCTAGGATTTCACACGTTGGGCTCTGGCACGTCTCCGCCCTCAGTCCGAAATAAAAGGTAGCAAGCAGTGCATGAAGCTGTTCGTGTCCTTTTCCGCTCGGGTTTCAAAAAGAGGCCTGATAAATAAATGACTAAACTGAGGCCATCTTATTTTCAACATACGAGAACAGAAGTCCCGCTGGAAAAGGCAGTCAGGCTGGGAAAAGGCAAAGTTGGCAGGGCTGAGCCCCAATGCATTAAGGGGATGGATGATTTCACTTTCAAGGCTGCGATATGCTGCTGGGCTATCGGGTAGGAGAAAAGCAATAGGAGGAGCAAAATTTGAAATCTCAGTGGCACAAGAGCCATTACACATCACAAGTTCCCAGATCTGGACAGAACAGCTCAGAAGAACCAGGTCTTGTGATGGAGGTGCGTGTCTTGTCCAACTGTTTGGGCAGAGCGACCACATAGATAGAACATCTCCTCTCAAGGCGTTTGTTTCCTTTGGTAGAAAAATAAAAATACACAGGTGCATATGTTTTCCCTAGCAGAGCAAATTACAGAAGAACTACACAACTTTAAGGCCAACAATGACGACACTGAAATAGTGAACGATTTTTATATACTGTGCTTCGGTTCCATCATCAATCCAAATGGAAACTGCAGCCAAGAAATCAGAAGAAGACTTTGAGGCCCAGAAGGGCAGCAATGAAAGATGCCCTAGACTGCCATACAAGACAAACGTGTGGGTCTCCAATCAAATCAAACCTGAACTTATCTGTGGAAGCAAAACTGTTGAAACTGAAGCTGTCCTGCTGCAGACACATCATGAGAAGGCAGGATTCTCTGGAAAAGACAATAATGGTGGGAAAGTTGGAAGGCAGCAGGAAAGAGAAAGAAAAGATGGATTGACTCCTGAAAGAAAAAAACAGGTTTGAGTTAGGAGGGCTCAGCTAACTCAAGAGTTGAGCAGGGCTGTTGAGGACGGCATTTTGGAGATCCCTCATTCATGGCGTCACCATGAGTTAGGGCAACTTGACAGCTGGTAACACCAGCAGCTGATGAGGGTGAAAGAGGAGAGTGCAAAAAACGGCCTGAAGCTCAACATCAAAAAAACTAATCATGGCCACTGGTCCCATCACCTCCTGGCAAATAGAAGGGGAAGATATGGAGGCAGTGACAGATTTTACTTTCTTGGGCTCCATGAGCACTGCAGATGGAGACAGCAGCCACGAAATTAAAAGACGCTTGCTTCTTGGGAGGAAAGCGATGACAAACGTTGACAGCATCTTAAAAAGCAGAGACATCACCTTGCCAACAAAAGTCCGAATAGTCAAAGCTATGGTTTTTCCTGTCATGGTGTCTGGAAGTGAGAGCTGGACCATCAAGAAAGCTGACCGCCGACGAATTGATGCCTTTGAACTGTGGTGCTGGACGAGGCTCCTGAGAGTCCCCTGGAATGCAAGGAGAACAAACCTATCAATTCTGAACGAAATCAACCCTGAGTGCTCACTGGAAGGACAGATCCTGAAGCTGAGGCTCCTATACTTTGGCCATCTCATGAGAAGAGAAGACTCCCTGGAAAAGACCCTGATGTTGGGAAAGTGGGAAGGCAAGAGGAGAAGAGGACGACAGAGGATGAGATGGTTGGACAGTGTCATTGAAGCAACCAACATGAAATTGACACAACTCCGGGAGGCAGTGGAAGATAGGAGGGCCTGGCGTGCTCTGGTCTATGGGGTCACGAATAGTCGGACATGACTAAATGACTAAACAACGACGAACAACACCAGAGCAAAGAGTGTCTGGCAGATATCCAGAAAACAATGTGGGGAAGAGACCATTTGCTTCCCTATCCTGTCATATTTAGATCACAGTCCAGTCCTTTCCCAGCTGATATTTGCAGACATTTTGAGAGAGTGGAGATATATTTATGCATATTCATCCGGGTGTTCTGGCCTTGGTTGCAACTGTATACAAATTTCCTTGTACAGAGTTTGGTGGAGAAGTTCTCCCACCTCACTAGGGTCTTATCCTTGTTAATGGGGGGACAAATTCTGCTTTGGTCCTGATCAAACCACTTTAAATACAGATGGGCCTCCCATTATTGAATGATCATCCCTATAAAAATCAACCCATCAACCCAGTACTTAGCAAAATATCATGACAAATAAAAGGGCTCTTTGTATCTTCAACTATCCAGGCTCGTGTTAACTGTATCGACTGCAGACACAGATTTATTAAGCCTGATGACAAATGGAAATAAACTTAGCCCACATGTCCGTAAAAAACACTTGTGGCTTTCCGCAATTGGTAATTTTAGTGATACACTGTTGGTTTATTTGATTAAAAACTTCTGAAGACATAACAGCAATGCAAGCAAATATACTGAAATTCAAATTATGCTAAAACATATTTGCCACCTTCCAGAAAATCCAAATGGCACCTGTGCACAGTTGTCGTTAAAACACAGATAACAGTATCAACATGAAATAAACAATCATGCACCCAAAGATTTTGTTTCTTGTCATTGTGAAAATGGGCTGGTAAACTGCAACTGTGTGTGCCATGTTAATGTCCATTCCTCTAGTGCTAAGATTAAACGCCTTTGCTGACACTTCTCAGGTAAACTACATGAAATCAATGGGTGTCGTGAGTAAAATGGCCGCCTCACTGCTTACCCTTAAATTCAGATAATTATGAACATGTTCAAAAGTGCTGATCCCAGAACAAAATGGCGGGCGAGGGGCGTTGTCTGCAGCCGACCGATGGGAGAAAAATTACTTATTACTCATCTCTACTTCCCTTTCCAGTTGCCAACTCATAAGAGGATCCCATGACTACTATATTTGCTCTGGAGGCTTTCGAAATTCAAAGGGACTTGACTAACATCGGCATGCTTGTAGATACTTGCCACAGATCTCTAAAAGATTAGTGAAACATGACCCACCTTTGTTGACGCCATATTATGCATCAGGAAGGAATGGAGTTTCCATTTCCATTTACCTGACAATGTAATCTTTCATAATACTTTCCACTAATTTCCTGGAAACAGATGTTAAACTAGTTGTCCTATAATACAGGGATCATCAACCCCTGGTCCGCGGCCCAGTGCCGGTCCGTGGGACTGCCGGAACTGGGCCGCAGACACAGATCACCCCCACTCCCCCTGCACGCACGGGGTGTGTGTCATGCTTGCAGGTGAGCGTGTCGCGCAAGCATGACACACCCAACTCTTGGGCGAGCCTGGCTTTGAACAGAGGGGAGGCGGCTTTGCCGTGGCGGCCCACTTGAGCCTGGAGGACCTTGAGCTGATGGGCGGAGTGCCGACACAAAGAGGAAGATGCAGCTGCCGTCTCCCCAGCAACTCCGGGTCAGAGGAGGCTAAGCAACCGAGCCAGAACGCTGGCGAAGCCCCTGTGGCCGCTCCTGCGATGGGCTGGCCACCCGCTTAGCCAGGTGCCAGGAGGAGGAAGCGGGTCTTGATGCCCTGCTGGTGCTCCAGGGCCGCCACCTCGGCAGCGTACTCAGCGAAGAGGACGCAGAAGCCCTTGTGCTGGAAGGCCTGGCTCAGGCGCTCCGCCCATCATCTCAAGGTCCTCCAGGCTCGAGTGGGCTGCCATGGCAAAGCTGCCTCCCCTCTGTTCAAAGCCAGGCTTGCCCAAGAGGTGGGCGTGTCACGCAAGCATGACACGCCCACCTGCAAGCACAACACCCCCCCATATGTGCAGGGGGTGCCCCCGCCCCCCACCGGTCTGCGCATGGAGCCCACACCCCCCAACCGGTCCCCAGTCGGAGAAAGGTTGGGGACCACTGCTATAATATACTTAGTCCCTGTTTTGAAACAGATTACCTGACCCACCTTCCGGTTCACTGATACAGAGGCTGATCTTAGACACATATTACCCATTTTTATAGAAGGTTAGTAGCATTATTTAAATTACCATTATTAAATCTGTGCATTATTTAAGAACTTTTGGGTGAATACAATTGGGGTCTAGTGCTTTGTTTGTTTATAGGTGGTCATCAAGGTTGAAATGTTCCCCTTTTCATTACTATTTTCCTCACTCTGATGTCCTCTGTCAGCTAAGGCCTGGGCATCTCCTCTACAAATTATGTAGTGAAACCAGAACCAGTTAATTTATTCAGCTCCTGTGCAATCTTATTATTCTCCTTTATTAGTTCTTTAACTCGTTTGTCTTGCAACAGATAAGCAGGGTCTCATGTCAGTCACCTGCTTTCTCGTGTATTTCATGTTTTTTAATTGTTGGTCTTTGTTTCATTAGCAATATGCCCCTCAACATGCATTGTTCTTGTTTTGCACCTTTTCTCCTCCTCCTCCTCCCCCTTTTGCACCTTAATGTTGTTTTCCTTTTTGTTCTCAGGTGCGTTTCCTGAAATAAGCCCTTATTTTCTCAAACAGTTTCACCGATATTGCTTATCAGTGCTAGTGACTTCTTAGACTTATTGGCGTCTTTCCTGACCTGTCTGTCACTCAGCTTCAACTCTCGGGATTTTGAGGCGCTTCCAAGCATTTTGCAGAGGCTGGACCCACTTCACTTTCCCTTGAATGTCCGTTTTATCTTCCGCTTCACTTTTGATAAGTTTCCTGTTTCAAAGCCAAACATCACTGTGCTAAAGTTCTGTCGCACTTCTCCACTTAGACGCAAATTAAATTTCGTCGTGCTGTGGTAATTAATTCCAGTCATCCCTCTCTAGGGTGAAACCCTAGAGGAAAAACAAAAGGTGTGCTAGGTCTTAAGCGCAAGCTGGCTGTAACTAGAAGTGGCGCTGCTTAGTGGCAGAAGGTCACATCTTGCCTGCCGAAGGTCACAAGATCAACCCCTTGTATCTCGGGGTAGGGGAGGTTGGGGGGGGGACATATAATCCTGAGTGAAGTTCTGGATTGCCACTGTTAATGATGGTCAACCGTATTGGGCTGGACAGACCAATAGTCTGGCTCAGTATAAGCCAGCTTCCTATAAAAGCAGTGCTCATTATAGTATGTTTTGTGATATCCCTTCAAGCAACAGTGACCGGTGTCAATTATGGTTAATGAGGCAGAAGGCCTGTAGTGGGCACAGCTGGAATGACAAGGAAGAGCCAGCGTGAAAGTGGACACATACACACAGAGGCACACCTATGCAGGCAGGTCAACATTCGCACATGCACACACAGACTGTATTCAGAAACTGCCTAATGCTCTCCTCCGTTCCTTCAATCTGTACCTCAGCCAAGAAGCAGGAAAATGCCCCCTTGTTCCAACAGGAGAAATAGTCCCACCTTCTATTGCTCCCCTCTGTGACCTGCTTTTAAAACTGAGCAGCTGGCATTCAATCTCGTTCATTCTCCCATTTTCTGTCATCCCTACCCCACTGATACAGTCACTCAGGGCGAAAGGGATGAGGCCAGGATTTCAGCTGGAAGAGAAAACTGGCAGAATGGTGACTCTCTTCCACTTACCAGGAGCCAGTCCGGAGTGAACTGGCCGTGGAGGAAGCGAGCCTGAGGAGGGGCATTGAGACATTCAAGGTCTTGTTATGGACCCACATGCCTTTCCTCCTCTAATGCATTAACATTCATGGAGTGCTTTTATACATCAAAATAAAGACTTGAGTGAAAAAAGATTGCCCATAAGAATGGATAGCCTTAGGCTCTCAAATCAGGACTGGCCTTCAAAGAAATAAAGTTTTCGGTGTCATCCCTTGTGGGGGTTCTTGTTACGCCAGCCACCGTTAAAGAATGAAGAGTTGGACCCACAGTAAGAATGTATATAAGCTCAGGTAAGAAAACCTGAGATCTATTCTAATATTGTATAACTACTGTTTGCCCCCCTGAGATTAGGCAGCCAGTGCTGGAACACAGGAGCAAGGAAGCTAAGTGGTGCTGTTGTTAGAATTAATCATTCACTGGGAAATTAGTCTTTGGTGAAAGAAGGTGAAAGAAGGCTGATATCGGTGTGGTATCCAGGGGTTTGAGGAAAGGGGGAAACTTATCCAAGGTCTTTATTGCTTGCTTTGTTTAGGGATGGCGTTTCTTGTGGCTTTCATTTATCCTTTGCTGCAGACCTTTCTTATCTACCATGTTGGTAAGTACAGTAGCTGAATCTGATCTTTGCTTCTTGTCTTCTACCATCTAAATTAAGTAATACGTCATTGTAAACAAGGTGCTTTTTATTCACTGCTAATCAAGTACCGAACTTTTTAAATAAGGCTATTAATACAATATTCCAGTCTTCTCAAAGGTCAAAGCTAGGAGCGATATATTTTTAGTGTGTGCAGTGATAATGGGATTTATTAATATGACTTTTAACAAAAAATTCTGATGGACAAAATCCAGAAATTCTTGCAGTCTGAGAAAGTTTCTTGGGCCTCTCAAATGTTTGAATTGTGTGGCTGATAGGAAAGGTCAGTTGTCAGAAAGAAAGTTATCTGTTCTTTGTGCTTCCTAAATTGGAGAATGATTGATTGATTGATTGATTGATTGATTGATTGATTGATTGATTGATTGATTGATTGATTGATTGATTGATTGATTGGACTTCTAAACCACCCATCTGGTCACTGGGCAGCGTACAACACTGAAATAACCATAGAACATACAATTCAAATTAAACAACAAAGGAAAGTTACTTTAAGATTTAAAATGTACACACTGGAGGAGCAGGTTTACAAGGTGGGAAGCAGGTAAACATCATAGACTGTTTGCAAAACAAGAAAGAATGGCAAAGGCTTAGTGGCAATAAAACTGGGCATTGATGTAGCAGAGTGTCCAAAGTACTTCACCTGTATGTTTCATTATTGAAATCCTTTTAGCAAGGAAAGGTAACTCTGCAAGGAAAATCAATACCTCTCTAGTGAGTGAACAGCACATTAGTTTCAAACCAGTAAGTTTTTTATTGATTAAATATGTTAGATTCAAACCAAAGGGTTCTTGTTTAATTGATTACACAACTGCATTTATGACTGACTATTATCTGTTTATTGTGACTCGTAGGTGCGATGGAGGTATTCAGGGTACGTCCATTCGACAACATTTCTCTGCCGTGTAATTTTTCCTTTGTGGACAGCACAGATGGCTTATCTTTCTCCTGGGAGAGGGAAGACATCAAGGAAGAACATGAAGTTGAAGACAAGGAATTTTACAAATTTCTGGTCGGACTCCAGGATTTTTACCTATTTTACCCAAAGTTGATATACAGCTTTAGCAACAATAAGGAACAAGTAGAGGAGAGGAATTCCCTCTATGAGGGGAGAGTCTGGGTAGACGAGGAGGAGATCCCCGAGGGCAGCCTGGCCCTCATATTGGAGCAAATACAATTTTCTGACGAGGCCCTGTACATATGTAAAGCTACAAATGCAAAAGGCAGGGGACAAAGAAAAATGAAACTCATTGTGGAAGGTAAGAACATTTTCATAGCATCCAATATTGCGCAGGTGAAAAAAAAAGGGAGCACTTACGTGCGTTAATATCCCAGATCTTCTGCCCACCACCTTTAAACACTTGGCTGGAGGCTTTTTTCATCTTCTTGTACATGGTAGCCGTTCGTTCTGCAACCGCTGGTCTTTGTGACCTCTATCTCTAAAGTGGATTTTTTATGCCAGATATGGCCCCTGTTGCCTTTTTGGGCCATAGTTTCCAAAATCTAAACCAGCTGTGGGACTTGGGGAATGGCAGCACCCCCCCCCCCCCAAATCAAGACTGCCACCTCGGCCTTCTGATTTCTTTGGCAAAAAACCTGAGCCTGAAGGTGGATATATTTGCTACAGAATTGCTGAAGCTTCAGCACATTTGGCAACGTTCACTTTCTGGGTAGACCATGGTGGAGGGCACCGAGGTGGAGAGGCTAGGGAGGGAAGCGAGTTCAAGATGTGTCCTTGCTAGCAACTTTTTAATGTTTTTTTAAAGCATCTCTTAGCATCTCACTGATAGCTAAAACATTGTCAGGAGAGGAAGCCTGATTTGTCAGGAGCAGCTATCCCAAAATAGAGACCAATTCTGAGCAACACCGTGAACATGTGTATTTGTTAGCATTTCAGTTTCATGGGTCACATGGAACCCACTTAAGAGCCATTAGAATTTGGGGGTCCTTCACTTTCTCAGGGTTCAATTTCCTTACCATGAGATCCCAAGAGGCATTATGATGTTTCAGTGACACACACATTATTTACATACACACCCACCCACACCCATATACACACACAATCTGAGCACAAGATGGGATGAACAATTGAACAGATTCGTGTTTCCTATTATATTTTTAGTTTCTCCAGATTTTCTGCATAGCGGTTAGCTCTGAGAATGGCGAGTATCCTGTTCAATTTACTGCACACATAGCTGCAGATCTGGGAATAGCGGTGGCTCTGTCAAAGGATTCGGTCGCCTGCCTAGCTGTGTGGTCATGTGCTCACATGACCAGCTAGAGCTATGTGAACAGGCAGGCAAGTGGGCCTTTGCAGGTCTGTCATAGCCATGTTCATGGTAACTTAACAAGTAGGCAATAATGTAATTACCCAGAGAGGGAGGAAGTTTAACAAAGGACGTAACAAAGTTGTGTTTCAAAAGTGATATGACTATTTGGAATGAGGCTACTTGTTTGTGCCACAAGCAAAGCTCTTTGTATCACAAGCAATGTTACATTTTAAGGGGATCATCAGATGCATTTTGATGGGACCGTTTCATATTTTAAACCACTGCCATCACTCAAAGGGATTTGTTAAAAATGTAACAAAAAGATAAGGAACAATACCGTAGAATAATGCACATGCTAAACTAGTAACAAGAGATAGTTTTTCAGACTTTATAATGAATAGTAGGAGGTTGAAATCTTGAGAAGTTTTGCTGATCCTTTTTCAGACATCGTTTCAGTGTGTCCATCCAGGTAAAGCTCAAATGTGTACCTGAGCAGATGGCCAAGACAGTTTCTTCTCTTCAAGGGTCCTCTGATCTTTCCCAGTGTAATCTCTGAAAAGTCATGTCAAGGTTACTAGGTGATCTTAAAGGTATTGCCATTGTCACCGTTTCCAGGGAGGTTGCTGGTCATCTGGAGCACACCTTCTCCAATCCTAATAAACCTTCTTCAGTAGTCCTAGTTTTAATATCCTTGCCCTTCTTCTTCATGGCACCCTCCATGTTTTGAATTTACATTTACATAATCGTCATGGTTAGATGTCATGCTTCTCCAAAATAGGTACCACCAGGTTGGAGAAGGCTGGCGTAGGGACTGTTGATACAGGTCCTACAAGTGTATTTATGGCCCCTGCTTGTTAATGGATGAGTTTCCGTTTCTGCAGCCTGATCATGTGGGCAGGACCCTTGGAGAGGTGAAGGCTACTAAATGCCTGCTGGACCCTTTCCCTTCCTGGTTGATAAAAGTTGCCAGAAAAGGACTGGTCAAGTGGGTAGGGGGAGTGGTGAATGCCTCCCTACAACAGGGTAGGATCTTAGCATGCTTAAAGGAGGCAATAGTAAGACCATTGCTGACAAAGCCTTCCTTGGACTCCACAATACTGAATAATTACCAACCAGTCTCTAATATCCCATTCTTAGAAAAGGTGCTGGAATGGGTTGTGGCTTCTCAGCTCCTGGGGTTCCTAGATGAGACGGATCATCTAGATCCATTTCAGTCTGGCTTCAGACCTGGTTGTGGGGTGAACAGTGTGCCTTGGTCACCTTGGTGGATGACCTACACTGGGAACTGGACAGGGGGAATGTGTTCTTGTTGGTTCTGCTGGACCTCTCAGCGGCTTTTGATACCATCGACCATGATCTCCTTCTGGCTCATCTCTCTGGGATGGGACTTGGAGGCACTGTTTTACAGTGCCTCCAATCCTTCCTGCAGGAGAGAACCCAGAATGTCATCCTGGGGGACTCCTGTTCGACATTCTGGCTGCTGGCCCGAGGGGTCCCTCAGGGTCTGTGGACGACACCCAATTCTACCTCTCCTTGCCACCTAAATCCAAGGAAGCTGTTTGACTCTAAATCAGTGTTCGGTATCCATAATGGATTGGATGAAAGTGAATAAACTGAAACTGAATCCAGGCAAGATAGAGGTGCTCCTGGTCAGTTGAAAGGCAGATCAAGAAATAGGGATGCAGCCTGTGCTGAATGAGGCTACATTTACTCTGAAAAAACAGGTGGACCGCTTTGGGGTGCTCCTGGATTCCTCTCCAAGCATGGATGCCCAGGTTTCAGTGGTGGCCAGCATGCATTCACACAATTAAAACTAGTGTACCTGCTCCGTTCTTGGAGAGGTCTAATGTGGCCATGGTGACACATGATTTAGTTACATCCCAACTGGATTACTATAACACAGTCTACCTGGGGCTGACTCTGGAAAACTGTCTGAGAACTTCAGCAGGTCAAAAATACAGTAGCCAGATTGCTGACTGGGGTTGGTTACAGGGAACATGTAATTCCCCTGTTACAGCAGCTCCACTGGCTACTGATCCATTTCAGGCACAAATCAAAGTGCCCTAAACTGCTTGGGCCCAACTATCTCAAGGACCATGCCTCCCTTTATGAGCCTGCTTGGAGGTTAAGAATAGATCATCAGGGTAGGCCTTTCTCTCGGTCCCACCACCTTCATAGATGTGCCTGATGGCGACGCAGGAACAGGCCTTCTCTGTGGCTGCTCCCACACTTTGAAATGCCTTGTCACAAGAGGCCAGGCTGGCCCCACTTTCCTGTCCTTCCACAAGCTGGTGAAGACCTTTGTTTTCAGACAAGCTTTCCCTGGCTGCCTGAGTGGAGTCATTAAATGGATTGTTGTGTTATTCTGCACTGGCTGCCTGAGTGGAGTCATTAAATGGACTGTTGTGTTATTCTGCATTGAATGTGCTTTTGGAGTTGTTTTGTTTACTATGTTGTTGAATGTGTTTTTGGAGTTGTTTTGTTCACTATGTTTTAGTGTGTTAATTGATCCTTTTTAGTGCTTATGTACTTACTGCTTTTAGCTTTGAATACTGTCAATTAATGATGTAAGGTGCCCTGGGTCTGTTTTTCAGAAGAAAGGCAGAGTAAAAACAGGAAGGAAGGAAGGAAATCTTATAGGTTGGGGTGAAATCAAGCCACTTATCCACATGCCCATACTTATAACTCACTGGTGGTCAACATATTGTGCCTTCTGGAAAGCACTGAATAGCCTTGATTTTTGTTGATTATTTTTTCAATTTTTCTCACTGCTCAGCCCAGCACTACTCAGTTCACTATTACTATATAGGCTGCTGCAAAGTATATGTGAACATATTATGATTAGGACTTGTTTCCACGTATTGTGTCACAGAGACTTTGGCAAAAATATTAAGCTTGTGTTTAGCGTTTTCAACTCCTTGAAGAATAGGAAAGAGGTCAGACTAGAGATGAAGGAGACCCTTCAGGAATGATTACTTCACATTTAGTAACTCTGAAAGCAATTCTGAGGAATCTGCCCTACATTTCTTGCTTGAGGATAAGTCACCACACTGAAGCTTCTTTCGAGGAATAATTGATCAATGTCCTGTGATCCTGTGAGAAAATGGAGCAAGAGAATAGGACTGGGACAAGGGTTGGGGAACAGAGAAATTTGCTAAAAGCAGAACAGAGAAATGTAGTTCTGGAAGAGCAGGAACGTTTGAAAGAGATAGGAATGAACATGGAACTAAGCAACAGAAGAGCAGGGAATATGAGTATGGATGTGGGTCTGAAATGAACTGCATTTGTGAATGAAACCCTCATAGGATGAGTTTTAGAAAACCACACAAACACACCAAAATAAAAACCAGAAAAAATCACCCCACCTATTTTATTTTTCTCCTTCAGAAATGTATTCTCTGAAAGTCAAGACTGGATCTGGGTGGATCAAGCTGATAAAAGCTCTGTTCTTTTCTGCACGTTATTAAGCAAAGTCAGCGTAGCAAACACATTTTGAAAAGCTCTGTTCTCCTTGCTTCAAAGACTCCAGAGCAGTTATTGCTCAGCTGTAATTAGATCACCACTAATAATGTTGTTTTTTTCTTCATTATTACTAGATGCTGAAGAACCACAGGTGCAGTTTAGCACCGTTGATGAGACTCTTGTGGCCAAGTGTATCTCAACAGGCTGGTACCATATGCCAAAGGTAACGTGGCGTAACCGCAAGGAAGAGGATCTGTCAAGCTACTCCACTACAGAAATCCTGGAAGAAAAGCAGGATGGGTCCCACAGAGTGGTGTCAATCCTGAAATATCCTGTATTGCTCCATGAGATCTACACATGTCACATTGAGGAAGATGACGTGCTGAACAGACCAGTTAGATCCATCCATAAAGTTCCAAGTTAGTGATTTAATCCTGCTATCCCTACTGAATCATAAAGAAAGGCCTTTGAGACATGCTTTCCTTATGAGCCAATAGTGTGATGCATTTGCAAAAAAGGCAAATGTTATTTTAGGCTGCATTAACAGAAATGTAGTCTCCAAATCCTGTGAGGTACTAATTCTCCTCTATTCAGCACTAGTTAGGCCTCATCTTGAATACTGTGTCCATTTTGGGCACCACATTTTAAGGAGTATGCCAACAAACGAACAAGTTCAGAGGATGACAACAAAAATGGCTAGGAGGCTGGAAACCAAGCCCTATGAGGAAAGACTAAAAGAACTGGACATATTTAGCTTTGAGAAAAGAACACTGAGGGGAGATATGATGCACTTTTGAAAGGTAGTCATACAGAGGAGAGGCAGGATCTGCTCTCAGTTATCCCAGAGTGCGAGCCCATAATAAAGGGCTTAAATTACTGGAAGCCAGATTTCAGTTGAATATAAGGGAAAACTTCCTGTTAGAGCAGTATGATGGGACCAATTACCTCAGTAGGTGGTGAATGTTATAACACTGGAGGCACTCAAGAGAAAATTAGACAATCATGTCAGTTATACTTTGATTTAGACTCCTGCATTGACCAAGGGGGTCAGACTTCAGGCCTTATAGGTCCTGTCCAACTCAACTATTTATAATTTTACTATAAAGAAAAAACATACTCCTTTCTCAGACACACAATTGCTTAAGGACAAATGAAGACCTCTTGGTCTAAATGAAAAGGTGAAGGGTATCTGGAGGCCTAAAATGGATTTAACTTGCTAGAAGAAGAATTTTGTGTTTTCATAAACATTTCTGCATCTTCGGCCTAAAATGGATTTAACTTGCTAGAAGAATTTTGTGTTTTCATAAATATTTCTGCATCTTCATGCCAATTTGCCGCCTTCTTGATCTTATCTATAAGCACTTTCCCCTTAAGCACTGAAACGAATGATCGTGAACAATATACAGTGGTGCCTCGCATAGCAACGTTAATCGGTGCAGCAAAAATCGCTGCAAAGCGATTTCGTCGCTATGCGATTTTAAAAAGCCCATAGGAATGCACTGAAACCCCTTGAATGCATTCCTATGGGCTTAAAATTGACCTTTAAGCGAAGATCCTCCATATGGCAGCCATTTTTACTGCCCGGTAAGCGAGGAATCCATCCCTAAACACAGCAGGCGGCCATTTCTTTTACCAGGTGGCCATTTTGGAACCGATCAGCTGGGGGAAAATCATCGCTATGCGATAATCGGTAAGCGAAACAGGGTACCGATCATCGCAAAGCGATTTTTCCCCATTTAAAACATCGCAATACGATCGCAAAAGCGATCGCAAAAAGTGCATCGGTATGTGATTTAGTCAATAAACGGGGCTGAGGCACCACTGTATGTTGTTGTCTTCAAGGCAATGCATTCAAACTAAATATCCAATGTGGATAAAACATGCAGCAATGGCAAAGACTCTTGCTCACCATCTGGTTTCCTTTTTTAATTCCATCTAGGCTCATTTTGGCACACATTTTACATAACCGTGAGCGCACATACATCCAGTTTCAAAATAGGCACCTGTCTAGTTACCAAGATAAGAATCTTCCTTGGAGGAATTAAAGATCGAAACACTAATGAAATTTATTTATTTATTAAATTTATACCCCGCCCCTCTAGACCATGTCTACTCAATTTTCCTCCACTATTTAACCTTAATATAGGCACAGGAGGCAAGTGTGGTAATAAAATAAGTCATTTTAGTGTGTTTAACAGTTCACTCTGTATCATTTGTTCTTTCTTTCAGAGAGGAAGTACCATAATATGTATAGTCACTATTAAAAAGCAACTGGCAAAGAGCAACTCCTACAGCTTTGACCACACGAATTCTTCAGTTTGGCACCGTACCCGGGTGCAGCAAGAAAGAAAAACTCACTTGGGGAAAATCCTCCATGGTGAAAGGGAGAAGCTATTTTTATGATTGCATTTGATGTTCAAATTAAAAGCAGCCAACACACACCCCTGAAATAGCAATAAGGTTTGCACTGTATTTTGTTCCTGTGCTCAAAGAGAACCTGGAAATGTCTGAATAAAGTTCATCAAAATAAAACAGGTTGCCTTTGTGTTTTGTAGTTTTTGCATATTCTTCCACACATGTGCCTGTTTCACATGTGCTGATAGACAAGTGTGTCTATGAATAAGAACAGCAACAACAACATACTGTACTGTGCTGATACTTCACAGATACTTAAGTTTTTTTGGTAAATATATATATCTGTTATACAATACCAGTCAGTACAGTATTTTAATAATTTTCATTGATTGTGCCTGGTATTTCTGAATAATTATAAAAAATCCTTATATTACTTTACCCAGTGTTTCTTTTCAGAAAGTAGTAACTGAAGGTGATTTGAGAAAAGTAAAAATTAAATAAAAAATAAATAAAAAAATTAGCCATTAAAACTATATTCAGAAATTCACCAGAGCTTAAATGTCTCCACCTGCTGGTCAAATACAGAGAATGGGGCAGATGATCTAAACTTCTGGGTTATAAGTTATGAGCGCCAATTGAGAAATATGCCTTATGTGAAAACATGTTCTGTCCACAAACCAATAATTATCTCCATGTTAGAAAAGAATCTGCTTTATTTTCAACCAATATTTGGAAGTGGAATTAATAGGGTTTAAAACATTGTTTCATCTCTGCTGAAATTAAACACATTAACTATTTACAGAAATTCTCAGTCAAAATGTCCTGTTATCACATTATGTTAAAAATTTCAAAGAATTGTGGATCCTTCCAATGCCATTTTGACTTGCAAGGAATATCTAGTAGATGTTAGTTCAAATGTGTAGCTAGCCGTATGGAAACTACTTTGAAGTGCGATGGCATGGAAGCTGTTGCACACAGCAAGTAACATGTACAAGCACTTCAGTCCTGTTCTTGCCATGATGGTGTAAAATAAAAAAAAATAGCATGAGGTGTTATCCACACACACTAGCTATATAGTGCTGCTTTCATGGTGCTGTATGTTACTGTAAAGGAGTCTAAAACACAAAAGTGCCCAGTCTCTATTCATCTACAATACAGATATGACCTCCTTTTGAGAAATGTGTCATCATACACATGGAAAGAGGGTAGCATCATCTGCAACACCTACACTTCCAAGTTCTGGCAGAAAGGACTCCAGAACTCCAGCAGAATGGCACGGACATAATTCAAAATACAACTGCATTCATATGGTTGGGCTTGGCGCTACCCAAGGTGTGTTGACAAAGCAAACCAACCCTCTTCTTTTCGTTTTTCAGCCTGTAGGAAGGAAGAGAAAAGGGTGACTTGAGATGCACTCCTTGGACCACCATTCCTTTTATTCCTTCTTTTACGGAGAGGAGGTCAACCTCTGGCAAGTACAACCAATGGAGCAGCAGTGTGAGCCAGATAGAAAGGAGTAGAACTTGGAAAATTGAGTCTGTTGAGTGGCTCAGAACACACAGTTATCTCAGTTTTAGTTTCTCACCTGTAAAAGGTGAGTAAGAGTGACTTACCCTCTTGCTGAGGGTAGCTCAGCAAGAAGTTTCGTATGACCTCAGGTCCAATGAAAGGATGAAGAGAACTGGCTCTTGCCTTACAAAATTCCCTACATGCAAACAGTCAACGTGATTATAATTCTGATTGACTGTGCCTGGTATTTTTTAAAAACAACAACAACAACATATGATGGTAAGTCAATTCTGAATTACGGCAACCCTGTTCAGGGTTTTACGGGCAGAGAGTACTCAGAAGTAGTTTATCATTCCCTTCTTCTGGGGGCGCCTTGGGACCGGGCAGCTTGCCCGAGGCCACACAGAGTTGGCTCTTCTGGGAAGCACATTGGGGAATCGAACTCCCAACCTCTGGTTCCGCAGTCAGACACCTAACTGACCGAGCTATCCAGCCGGCTCCCCATTGGCTACTGAACATAGTTAATTCTTACTGAGCTTCTTTTGTCCCCACTGCCTCCCCTATGGATTTTGTTTAATATACTTATGAAAAGTCTGTAGTTCCCTCAAGGCTAGGGATACCTCCCCTTCTTGCAAATGAATGGCGAGGGCTACATTAACACAGTTAATAGAGAGAAAGATGGCTGCACATAGTTTTGCTGAGGAAGGAAGTACCTTCGTCTTGTGAATGTCGCCTGTCAGTTGTACATTTCCCAGTGAGATATTTCGTGGCAGACACCCTTGTAGATCTGTAGGAATAAAGGACAGAAGAGGGGAGGGAAAACAAGGTGGGTTTTTTTTGGCAAATTCCTAGTGTATTCAGAAAATGTGTGTCAGGGCCACATCGCTTAAAGTGTTATGACAGGGGTAGTTCAGTGTTGCTCCTCGGGTTAAGATATACTAGTCAAGAACAGCAGTAGTAGAGCCAACTCAACAAAGAGAGCAAGGGAAGATATTACAAAGTGCCACTAACAAACCCAATTCATCTGAGACATTTTCTTACAGGACTTTTCTTCAATATGTCTATCAATTATAGTTGCCCTCTCCTGAGCTCAGTGTGGTGTAGTGCAGTGGTCCCCAACCTTTTTAACTCCTCGGACTGGTTGGGGAAGGCGGGGCACTCCCCCGCACTCACGTGCACATTAATAGGGAGGGCACATGGACAAAGGAGCAGGGGGCACTCGTGTACATGCACGAAGGGCGCTTGGGGGGCACTTGCACGTACTTGCAAAGGGGGGGGCACTCTGACTCTGGCAGCCAGGGTTCGAATCCCCACTTGGCCATGGAAACTCACTGGGGGAGTAGAACTGGAATACCACTCCTTTAAATGTCTCACTTACCTTGGCAGCCCTATTAGTCGATAAGTTGGCTCTGACTTGTTGGCATATAACTAACTTACTTCTGAACCCACTTCAATTCCTCTTAGCACAGATTAAAACACTGTGATTTAGAGCTGGGGTCCCCAACCCCCAGTCTGTGGCCCGGTCCCAGTCCATGGCCTTAGCAGGACTGGCCTGCCGAGACAGATCCCCCACCCCCTGCATGCCAACACGGGTGCCCCACCCCTGCACGTATGTGAGCCCCACCTCCCCACGAGTGCAAGAGGGTGCTCCCCTGCACACAGACCCCCCAATTGGTCCACGGTTTGGAAAAGGTCAGGAACCACTGATTTAGAGGACAAATGTATCCCTCAGAGGATTCCCAGTTAGCCTGTGCTCCTCAGTTACTATGCTATCTGCAAAGAGGGCTTCTATTCCACCTCAGCCAACAGACAAACATAACACACTGCAAGCATAGCCACTCAAGATGGATTTGGATATCAATGTGTTGTGCATCTTATGTGCTATCAAGTCAAAATTCTAAGAGGGCATTAAAGGTAAGCAAATTTGGGGGAAAACGCATCACTTTCTCCAACAGAACAGTTTTATTTTCAGTGCAAATTATAGGGCAGGAATCCTAATCTGGATTTGGACTGCTTATTTGCACCACACCAAAATGGGCCCCTAATGCACCCGTGCAAGGGGAAACCATTTCTATTGGGACAAATAGCAGTCATCTCTCCCTTCAATGCAAATTGTATAAATGGGTGTTTGTTTGCAGAAAGTGATTGTACATGCAGTAGACAGAATGAAAGCACTGTTGTAGAAAAGCTCGGCCATGATGAATTTTGCATATTTATATTTTTTTACAAAACCTTTCAACTTGCCCAGTATGTCTTATGATATAAGAAGAGAGCAGAGACCAAACGTAGTGTCACTACTTCTCATCCTCTCGATATATAATGCAATCTTGGGGCTTATCCAGATGGAGCATTCTAGTGGGTGCGTTCTGATGAAGGTTTTTGCATATTTCCCTTACAGGACATTGGCAAATCCTCTTCCCAACAAGGTCCTCCATCCTGTTCTGTGGAGCCTGGAATGGAATTCTCCAGATGGCTCAAAGCCACCTTCCACTGGAAGAGCCTTAGGCTCTGTCAGCCATCCAGTCTGAATGACACAGAAAACATTTTTTGTCTACTGTTTTCTGCCCTCTCCTTGGAAACTTCCTCTTCGTGTTGTCCTTGTGTTTGGCACTCCTCTAAAAAGTTGTCAACCTCCCTATTACCCAAAATGTAGAGGTATGCTTCAAGCCTTTTCACTTCCTCTTCTAGCAAAAACAGCCACAATACACTTGTGGAGATGTAGTTCATACTGTCTTCTGAAAAAAACATGGTACATACCCTGCAAGTCACCAGAAGTCCCTTGCATTAGATCACTAGTCCATAGTGTAGCTTTCAAGAAGAATTCATAATCTTCCCCCTCAAACTCCCATGCATATATCCTGTAAATTCACTTCATATTTTTCATTTCCAGAAAATAAAGATACTTCTCTTATGGAATCAACATGCTCTGATTACTTTGCAGGAACTCCACTACCAACTCTCACACACTTTTTATAGCATGCTGCATCACTTGACCCACTTGAAATGCAAGGCTCCAATACAAGAAACAAGTAATACAAATAGAAACTGTTACCAAATGTAACTGGTAGGACAGAGGCTAGAGCAGCTAATTGCAGACAGTAAGGCTTTGGGGGTTCCTTGGACACCAGCCAAAATTAATCCTATGCCTCAATTTTATTCATTTATTTAAAATAAATGAATAAAAATTAAAAAGGCAGGATAGCTCAGTGCTCTTTGCCTTCCTCAATACAAACTTTCACACACACACATACATACTTGCATTCCAAATGGAAAGAATTTGGTACATACCTAATACATCCTGTTTCCTTCTATTCTCTCTATTCTCTCTGATATCTTCGACGACTGTTGCTTGGTGGCTGGCCCCTCTGGATCACAGAGCCATGGAGGATGAGGAGAAAGAAATACAACATGGATTAGCTGTGGGTATCATTCATGCATACCCTACCCATAAAGAACTGAGTGTTGATTTGGTACGGGCAACCAATCAACTCTTAAACATGGGAATCAGACAGAACAGCCTTCCTGAAAGCTCTCCCTGTCTTGGAATGTACTGAGAAGAAAAGAAAGAGCTGGGATATGTATGCTGAAGCAGAGTGCATTGGTGCTGGAGCAGCTAGCAGAAGCTACTGTCAGCCTGAAGTTACTATGGATGAAGCCATTCACTACTGCCTAGTGATGAGACATAGACAGAGTTGTTGTTGTTGAGGCTTTCTAGAGATTCTGGTGGAAGCAGGGGTGTTGCCTTGGCTGACAGACAGAATGGGCTGCCTCTCTCCCATCCGTGAAATAGAAGAGGGGATGTGGCAGCAAAAAGCTGTCTACAATACAAGCGTCAAACACCACTGCCCACTTGAAATTCCATCCCTAAGCCTCAGGCAATCTCTTTGAGAACTCCAGTGCTTTTTCCTTCATCATGAGCTATCTAGCCATGGAAATGATCTATGAAGAAACTTTGTGAGCTTAGTGACTCAAGGAGGCTGTTGACTGTACTCCATTTGGCTATACATCATGGATTTCAGCATTACACATTTATCATCCCCCTACTCTCCCACATTACTACTCATCACTGTCACCAATTTTTTGTGACTGCACTCAGACGCCATATTCAGAAACCTCGAATGGAGCCTATGGATTGGCTAAAACTGGGAGGAATCAAGATCTGTGTGTCTCCTCTTCTGCCAACAATTATGCACAAAATTCCTCACCAAAGAGATTTAAAAACAAAAGTAACTTACTCAGGGAAAGAACCTGCTGTTTTGTCTGTCAGCTGCTTATTTGCTTCTCATTTTGTAAAGTAGCATGCACACGAATGAAACTATCTACACATAAATAAAGCCGAGGTAGCCAAATGGGCAATGAGAACATGGGATTCCTTGAAATGTGGGATTCCTTGTCTAAGTGCCTCTTAAAGGTTGCTATTGGCACAACACTGGATTCAGCAGAGCTTTTGCCTGCCTCAGTAAAACTCTTATTTACTTTTACACCTCTATTGTTATCTGCTTAAAATGAGGAAACAGCTTATACTGCAATAAGTTTAAAGAAAAGTCAGATCTTTCTTTATCAAAGATTCACGTGAATGAACCTGTCTGCATGACTGAGAACCAGCCTTTTGACTTCATGCTTTCAATCTATGATAACGCACCGGAAACTGCATTCAAACTCTCAGACTACAAAACAGAAGTTGAAAAGGATCTGTAAGAATTTTACCTTCTTGCACTGTTTTCACTGGCAGGAAAATCAGTATCTTTTTCAGAACTATCCAGAGTTTCTGCTACTGGAACAGACACTTCAATTGTCCTCCTTCCGTTTTCTAAAAAGGACAGGAAGACCAATCTCCAATTACTGAATTACCGGAAAATGTCTGCATGACATGATGATGAAAAACCACTTTCAACATGTACTAAATGAAAAAGCAGCTAAAATTTTAAAAAGGTTTTGTGAAATGAAGTCAGCTGCTTTCAACTGCATAATCCGCGGTACTCTAAACAGTTGATATTAGGAGACACTCTCAATACTGGACACATACCAATGACGTTCACAGGGGTTGATGGAATTGGTGAAACAGGTGGAGACACAGAGACGAATGTGGGTAACTTCTGCTGATTGGTCAGCAACAACAGTTTGCCACGTGCTTCTGCACTCTGGCGACTCAGCTCAGCTATTCGTTCATCCATGCTCTTTGGTAACTCTTTCAGTCTGTTTATGGCTTGTCCATTTCCCTAAACAAGCATTCAGGCTTGTGGTTAGAGCCACCTTATAAAGGAAGTGAGTTTTACATTTATTTTGTTATTGAACTTAGCTCCACAGAAGCCTCACCCCTTTCCCAACTATGATCCTTTCTCTCTATAATCATTTTAACTTTATGGAAGAGCAACACAAGGAAAACTGAAGATATCCAATCATAAATTTTTATCCAACATTACTTGTTTGAGACAAGAGATAATGTGCTGGATACAATCCACGTGGAATTTAATAAATGCACTGAATACACTATTGCATAAGAAACTGCTTCTTGACGTAGAAAGAGAGAAATTACGGTAAATGATATGAGACATCAGTCGAAAGGGAACAAGAATAATGTTATTCTAAATTGCAATGAATAAAATACAAAATAGGATACTGAATACACTATTGCATAAGAAACTGCTCCTTGAAGTAGAAAGAGAGAAATTACCGTATTTTTCGCTCCATAAGACACACCTTTCCATAAGACACACCAATTTTTTAGGAGAAGAAAACAGGAAAATATAATCTGTTTTCTTCGCTCCATAAGACGCACAGACTTTCCACCCCCCTGTTTTGTGGGGGAAAAGTGCGTCTTATGGTGCGAAAAATACGGTAAATGATATAAGGGACATCAGTCAAAAGGGAACAAGAATAATGTTATTCTAAACGGCAATGAATAAAATACAAAATAGGACCCAAAATATATGATGGTTTATCTCATGGGATAGAGTAACAGAAAACAAAAGAAAATTGCAAAATAATAAATGATGGTGTTGGAAATAAACAATATGAATGGGGTAATTAATTAGAGCCACGGATGGAAGGAAGGGAATACAGTGGTTCAGGAAACTAAGAGAAAGAAAGGACTTGAAATTTGCATGACAAACAATTTAGAAAGATCCAGTACTGTACATTTGAGAAAGCCTCTTCATTGTGGACAACTGAACAACATTGCCATCAAGCAACTGTTCAAACTGTTTTGCACATCACCTGATAACAGAAAGTATAAAGGGAGTTTAATCAGTTGCTCTGAAAAGCTGGTTCGGCCAAGTCTCCCTCTCCCTCTCAGTGTGCGTTATGATGTCATGTATAGATGTATGTGAATATCTATATATTAAAACATTTTTATATATTAAAACTATATATTACATTTTTCTTGATTTTCTTAAGAGTAACAATAATAAGAGAAGAGAGAGATACATGTTAAACTTCAGGAAAAGACAGGGGAAATAATATAACAAGTCAAGAAAGAAGGCACAAGTACACCAACAGAAGTAATAAAGCTATAGGAGACAGAGGTCATGCTAGTATATATTATGCCAACAGAATGACTCACGAGGCTTAGCAGAATCCACAAAAGGACACAATTTTTCAAAAAAAAACAACAACAAACAAACAGAACAAAAACACATTACCGGGACAGGTACAGAGACACATATATTTGTTTTGTGAGTTTGTCAATTGAAAGCTGTTTTGATATTATTGGTTAATATGGCGACTCTTACAGTAGAGAGTAACTTTCAGCTATGCAGGTAAACAGGGTAAAACTGTACGGAAAGCAATCCAGCTTGTCTTCAACAGTTTTATGTAAAACCAGTTTTAGGCTTTTAGATTTAAAATCTTAAGTAAAAACAGGCCTACTTTAAGATAAGCCTAGGCTTAAAAAAAAGTTCTCGGGAGGTGTCACTCATCTCAGAAATGAACTACAGCCTCCAGCACTTAGGTCAGGAATAAGGCACTTTTTTTCTCTCTTGGGGCCCCTTTCCTTTAGACAAAAAAGCCTGTGGCACTTTAAAGACTGTTATATTTTAAATGCGAGCTTCCAGGGACTGCCTTCATACTGCCTTCCAACTTCCCTCTGAAAACTGTGTTTTTTATCTGCCTCTTATCTTGTTTTAATATTGTTCAAGCGTTTATAAACTGGACAACACACTGGCTGGAAGTACAACCAGAAAACTGTGCAAGCCATGTTTGTAATCTTGCTGTTCAGACATGCCTGGGTGGACAGATGGTTCTGCGCTGGGTCACATGCCTGGCCAGATGACAAACAGCTGGCAAAATGCAAAAAAAATCTTGCACCATTAGCCTTACATGCACAGTATTTCACAGCAAGTTTTTGGCCACTGTACTAATGGAGAGCTTGTGTTTAGTATGTCATCTATTCCATACTAAGATTCTCAAAGTTGGTACTGGGAGAGGAAGTCCAGTATTGAATTTTTCGACTCTCAGCAAAACTATGTCATCTATTCCATACTAAGATTCTCATAGTTGGTACTGGGAGAGGAAGTCCAGTACTGTACTGAATTTTTCGACTCTCAGCAAAATGCTTCATTTGAATCCCATGAACCACTCAGCTCTGGCCTTTTCAAATCCGCTCACTCGCTAATATGTCACAACATGCCCTCATCCTATGTCTATCAGTCTATTTATCCCACTGAAGATAAATCTGTTGACTCAAAATGCATTGGGCCCTTGTCATCTTCCTGATCAATCTCCTCCTTTTATCTTCCTCTCTTTAACTTGTCACAGATGCTGTATAAAGAAAGCCTAAGATTGTGGTCAGTCACAAACCAAGCTATTGTCCAGCTGCAAAAAGGGCAATTCTACACTGTTCCCTGTGGTAGTGAAACCTTTTAACATCAACTGCTGACCTGTTATGATGTCATGGAATATTCCATTCCTTGTGGTGCTGTGGCTAAACTGCTGTACTTCAGCCCAAACTGTGCTCGTGACCTGGGGTTCTAGCTGGCTCAAGGTTCACTCAGCCCTCCTTCCTACAGAGATCAGTAAAATGAGTACCCAGTTTGCTGGGGGGGGGGGCAATGGGTACCGTGCATAATAAACTTGTAAGCTGCCCAGATAGTGTTTTAAGCACTATGGGGTGGAATATAAGCAGCACGCTTTTAGCTTTTTCATTTGCTAAAGGGTACAGAGCTGTTAAAATGTTTTTGCAAGCCAGTGTCTTCAAAAGAAGGGAACCTTGTTAATCTGGTCAAAAATAAATTTTCACACCTATTGTTACAGACGTAGAAAGCATTGAAAAATAGGCTGAGGTCTCAGCAACTATATGACTGGAACCCAGAAGCAAGGAAAAGAGTACAGAGCAACCATTACAGTCAAGAAATGGTGAAGGAAAGAAAACTGAGTAGCGAATTTTGATTTGAGTAAACTCATTGACTGGAGACTTTGTATTGATTTCTTAGATGCTGCAATCATTCTGGTACCCTTGGTAAAGGTGCTAGAGCAGACATCTCAGCGTAAATTCAAACAGATGCAACAGACTAACTTCAAATGCCAAGGTTACAGAACATATCTTGGATACAGAAGTTAATGCCAAGCTAAAGTTAGAAAGAAAACAGAGCAGGATGTTGTTTTAATACTTGTACAGAAGATGTTGGCCCAATGAAAGAGATATTTAGATTTAAGAAATCATGGCTACTAGAAATCAGAAGCTGGCAAATCTAGGCCAAAAATAACTTACTAGGGTAATATAGTTTGAAAACAGTTTCCCTGAAACAGTTTTGAAGTAACAAACCTCCCCCCTCCAAGGGAATTACTTAAGATTCACAAGGCTATTATGCCATTTTTGTGGAAATGGGACCACAATTCCATGGTCTACATCTGTGGCTGGTACCACAAAAGGCAAATCCCATTTGGCTTAGCTATTATACACAAACATCCAACTGTGATCACAGGAATTCATGTGTCGTCGTTTAGTCGTGTCCGACTCTTCGTGACCCCACGGACCAGAGCACGCCAGGCCCTCCTGTCTTCCACTGCCTCCTGGAGTTGGGTCAAATTCATGTTGGTTGCTTTGATACATGCACCACATCCTAAATGCAGCTGTGGATGTCCTACATGCAGAATTTCTTGTGCTCTGCTGCATTCATGACCTGCATGTTGAGCCCCCTGACACTCACAAACTAGCATGTACAAAGTGGGGGCTTGACTTGAGAACTTAATCCGTATTGGAAGGCGGTTCTCAAGTCAAAAAGTTCTCAGGTCAAATCTGCATTTCCCATAGGAATGCATTGAAAACCATTTGATGCGTATCTGCTCTTTTCCGTCCATAGAAACTAATGGGAAGCTGCTATTCTGCCTTCGACCACTAGAGGGGGATATTTTGTTTCTTTTTTTCTTAGGTCAAGAAAGGTTCAGGGAAGGCAAGGAAAATACAGTCCAGGCAGTCTGAAGACTGTCTCCCAATCCACTCTCTAAACGCTGGGAGGAGTGAGGAAGCAGACAGGCACCCTTTTCACTGGCCAACAGTTAACTGAAAGTTCACATTTTGCACTTTCCCTGCCTCCCACATGGGTTTTTTTCAGTTTGTAACTCAAATCTAAGTATGTAAGTCAAGTCAGTATTTTCCTATGAGAGTGGTTCTTAAGTCAAAATGTTCTTAACTCGGGCCGTTCTTAAGTCAAGACCCCACTGTAACTAAAGGAGAAAATTATTTTTCATACGAAGTAGATAGATACGCATATGTAAGCACATATGTGCAAACACACACACACACACACATACTGCTGTTTTTCACAAATGGTGAGAACACAGAGTGCAACTCCCACGTTAAATGTTTCTTAAGAATATGCTCTTCAGTTCTTACCTGGCCCTCTACCTTTGCTCCATCCTGCATTGTGACTGGCTGCTGCAAACTACCGCTTGTTTCCTGATGGCAGTGCCTCAGTTTTCTTAGCTGAGATTTAACAGCTGAGTTCTGGAAAGTAAATTCAGCTATATGCCCCTGAAGGTCATCATTCCTTGTACACATTAAGTTTGCGGCAGGGAAGAATCTCTCTGGAAATTCACCAAAGTTTCCTCTCTGTGCTGCAGGAAAATTCCTTACTACAGGTTGCCCATTGGAGCAAAGAGAACTCTGTAAAGGTTTGTCTGGGACAGGAACCCCATCTCTTTGCATGGGAGGACTGCTCCCTTCCTGTGCCGTGAATGGTATGTGTAAGGCAGATGGTCTCTGCTCTCCATCTGGTTCTTTCCCCAGGGACTCTGTGGAAAGATGAATGTTTCTGAGCATATTACAACCCCTACTGAAGGGCCAATTCTCATTTTTTAATTCCATCTCAGCATCTGAATACAGAATTAATATGTCTGCTAACAAGTCTAAATGATGCATTTTCAAATTCCAGCCCCCACCCCACCCCAAAGTCAACTATATGCATAGACCTTTTAGACTAAAAAACACGTTTATCTTAAACTCAGAACCACAGGTCACTTTCTGGAAATGTCAAACCACAGACTCAGTCTTAAAATATGGCTATTTATTTACTTATATTTAATGAATGCACACTACTCTGGACAATGTATAGAATAAAACATGAAGCCCTACAATTCCTCCCCCAAACGCCACTCCCATCTAACAATGTACAGTAATCAGTATGGCAAAGCATAAGTGCTTGTGTCCTGTACTGAAAATTAATTTTACTCAAATACAGCTTTCTTTGTTCATTTGCCCACCAAAATTATCTGCCTGAGGAAAGAAAACAGTTTCTTACATTGCAAACAACATTAAATCTATTTCTTCTGCAGTTCTGAAGACCCAATGTTTGAAGATTTGGTAATAAGGAAAGTAAATAGAAAACACTGAAAAAGTTCAGGCTTCTGTATAGCATAACCTGACTATGGAAAAAGTGTAGGATACAGTACTGCATTTAAACCAGCAGATAAAGGGGCAGTGTATGCTTACAGAAAATTGGGAAATGATGAGCATTATGAGAAATGCGAAGGAAACTTCTTTTTTTGTTGTTGTTTCCTTATTTAGTTAAGGTGAGAGCAGTTTGTTCCTTTTTAAATTCAACGTAATGGCTCCAACATGGTGGGAAAGGAGAAAAATGCCCTGAGTCACACTGGCTGGTTAGGTTGAAGCAGAATGTATTCTACGATAAGGATCAGCCAAGGCTTGCCATAAGAACTGACCTTCTAGAATCGGTCAATATCCATACTGACCAATGTGGCCGTATATTACATGAAACCATTCTATAAGCAGGCGCAGAAAGACTTGTCCACAAGAAGAGTGGAGAGTTCTTTAAAACAGGCTCAAATAGTGTCATGCAGTCAAGGTGGCCTTCTTACCATTCTGAGGAAGAGGAGGCAAGTCCTGGCTGCTACTTTGCTGTGGTGGAGATAACAAGATGGCAGGCTGGAACAGACAAGGGGATACCAAAGGGACTGGAAGGTTTTTATCTGGAGGATTTAGCAACTCTGGATGGTCACAGGAAAGATCCACTTGTAAGAATTCATACATATCTGTCTTCAGTCCAACGCTGTTTGAGAGGGGTTTTACTGGTAAAAGAAAACAAAGAAGAGAATTGATACTGTGTGAGATAGGGAGTCACCTCAGCAGTATCCAGAAGAGTGTACCATCCGTCTCTCAGACAAAGACAGAAGACGACGAGACAGCAGTTATTGAAAGGGGTTTAAGACAACTAGAGATAGGGAAAGAGACAGAAGAAGGCGCCAATCAGGCGGGAAAAGATAAAAAGGGGAAAGAGAAAAGGGAGAGGCAGAAGCATGTTGGGGAAAAGAGGACAGAGAGGAGGAAAAGGAAGAACTCAGTGGAGAAAATTCAGGAGGACCCTTGGACAGGAGAGTGGGTGGAATTTCTAGTACCCGGTGAGTATGCAGCGAAAGAATGGAAACGACAGGTATACAGGAAGCCACCATACTGGGGTGAGATTGAGGAGAGAAAATAGAGGAAAGAATATAGAGCATGGGTAAAAAGGGAGGAGCAGAGAAGAGAACGACAAAGATATACAGCAAACCCAGGGAGATCCCGTGGGCCCAGCCCCTTCAGAGGCAAATTCCTGGCTTGGCAAAGGGGGAGCCTCAAGAGGGCTCGGTTTACCTTCCCCAGAGTTAAGATTGATAGACAGGACACCAAAGATACTGGACGCTAAACCAAAGTGGGCCCAAGAAGTTACCACTTGTTCACCATTATCATGAAGAATTACCTGGTTTTAATAAGGTTAAGACTTATGCTCTACCATTGAATTTTGAAATGAATAAACAAGATGCAAATGACGATGATGACATGTTAGACAATAAACCAGTTTTATTTGAGGATTTTGGTGTATTGCCTGCTTCTTTGGACAAAGTTACTAAAATGGAGGTAGGAGACAAGCAGCAAGATCACCTAGGCTATGGTGAATAACATAAAGACCTCTTTTATACAGAGGAACATGAGAAACATTCAGATACAACACTGAATGCACCCTTCCTCTTAATGCCATACCACTATGTTTAAAAGCCTACTTGGCATTGGCACTTTAATTGGGAATGAAACGAACTGGTGGGGCCCTCATTAGGCTTCCAATACTGACTGGGGACTTGTGTTGGTTCCCCAGGGGCAGCTCCCAGCTGTTGTTTTTCCCAAAGCTACTGGTGAATGCAAAGAAAACGTTCACTGTAAACAGTGGGTGGGGCAATGTTTGAGTGCAAAATCAGCACACTACCTGGGGGCAGGGAATATAACATCAGAATAAGGCCACTGTGCTTGATTTAATTTTCAAAGTACATTTGTCAGTGTTGGACAATCCCCAATCATAGCAAAATTGTAGCACGATCTTTTGAAGTACCTACATCAATTTATTGCCAGACATGAAGTCTGATATCCCACAGCACTCCAGCAGCTACCAACACTCTGCCAATCACTCAGATTATCAAAGACTGCTTGTGTTCAGGGAAAGACTCATACCTTGAGTGGACTCTGGACCCCTGACTGAAGAATCCCCAGTTTCCCTTGGATTTGTCATCCTGTCTGAATCGGCAATAGAAAGCTCTTTCAGCGCACAGGCGGGTGGCTGCTTCTTTTGTTCAACTAGACATTGCTGGATTTGATTCTTGAAGACAGAAGGAATAAGAATATACTTGAGATCAGCATTCTTATCAGCTGACAACTGGCAAACATGTAAAATGAAAGATACTTTCAAGCTTCTGTTTCTGCTTTCGCTAGATCTAGTAGTAGTCCATTCAATATATGTTTGCTCCTTTTGTACTATTGTGAAGGTCATACAATGTAATGTACTGAACATTTTCAAAGTTCCCAGTCACATGAATTGTGGAGCTGGAACTAAGGAAGTGCCATATAATGTGCCATAACATTGACAAACTGAATCCTTGTAGAAATGAGGTGGAAAATGGCATAAAAATCTTCTTGCTAATGAAGTTGACCACAAACCCTTGCTGAAATCCTTTAGCCCCCAGTCTGCTCTACAGAATGATTCAAACTACATTGCTTGGAAATATAATACATTATTAAACAAGGTAACTAAATACCGTATATGCATTAAATTTCCAGTATGGATCAAGTGATTCAGGGCAATACCTGCATAGCAAGGTTTTCCTCTCTCATCAGGAGGACTTCGGCAGTTAGAGCATCAATGAGGGCCCTATGTTCACTTATTTCCTCCTCAAGTTTCTTCCTGTTCAACACTTCTTGACGTACTCTTGTCTCGCTCTTTTGAGCACAGGAGGAAGAGGAAGAAGTAGGCATTACTACGACAATGAAGTCTTATTATGAAAACACAAGCTAACAAAAATCCACAGACTTTTTAAGTTCAACAGAACTGCTCAATCCTTGAAAGCTAATGCAAAAAAAGCAAAGCAAAAAGCAAAGTGTGCTGATTATATACCGCCCCACAGTGCTTCAAGCACTATGCTTGAATAAGTGCTGCAATAAACCTTGTTGGTCCTTAAGGTGTTATAACACTCTTTGTTGTTTTTGCTACTACAGACTAATATTGCTCTTCTGGAATTAAGCTTCTTGGTCTCATGGCACTGATCATAAATGATACCTGGTGTAAATATAAGTCTGCTAGCTAGCTAGATAGCTAATCTATCCATCTATCAATCTATCCATCTATCTATCCCATCCATCTAATAGCAGAGCCACCATCCTGCCGACAAAGGAACATCAAAATACACATGTCTTGTACTAAGGACAGTCACAAGCAGTGTAATGAACAGTTGTAGGTTTTTTTTTCAGTAGAAGCTACTCCACATCAATAATAAAGGTTCAACACATCCTAAACACATGGTGTATCCCAAGAAGCAATGAAAAGAAGCATGGATTGTGGCATGCTTGCGCTCTCTCTCTCTCTCTCCCAAACAGAACGCAATGTGTAAGGAAAGACAGAACAGCTTAAAACATGTATTGCAACTAACAGGGATTCACAGTATTTTCCCACCTCCTTCAAATAGCACAGCATCCGACACAAAGCATTCACCAGTGAGGGAGTAAATCCAGAGACCCCTTGACTCCTGTGTGTTTGGTGGATTTCATACCCCATCCACCTCTCGTACTCTTCCATTTCATGCTCCATATCCTCTATCATTTGGTTCAAAACCTCTAGGCTCGTTCTGTTGCCATTTGGGAGATTAGAGGAAGCAGCTGCAGGGCTCAGATTAATCTTCTTCTCTCCAGTGGGTGTCTGTGAGATTTGCTTTTTCTTTACTGAGAAGGAAAGCATGACAGAAGTCAACAGTAACATCCATGTCAAACCAAATGATCAGTTATAGAGCACAAAATTTGCAGTTTAAGAGATATAGTAAGAAAAATCCAATCATATATCCCAACACAAAGAAAAAATAGGTTAAGGTACCTGTAATTTTGACAGTAAACATCTACAGCTTTGTGTTTTGTGCTTCCTTAATATACATGCATCTATGCTTTTCTTGGCCCTTCAGCCTTCAACTTCTTTTTGTGTTGGCTGAAACTAAGACAACATCTGTAATCCAAGTGGTTGTCAAACACTGTTGTTCTTATGGGCCATCAAGTCACTGCTGATTCATGGCAAACCTAACAGCTTCTGTGGCCAAGCAAGGATCTCCCAAATTCTAGTGCAATGCTCTATCCACCACAACACGCCGGCTCTTTAAGACATTAATTCCCCCTCCCTTGTATTCTATACACTTAAATTCTGACTGCCAGCATATAATCTGGGAGATGGCTAGGTGTCATGGTTTAATATTCAAACAAGATCAATGTGCTTTTTCAACTCAATGAAGAGTCCCACTCAAAGCTTCTCCAACTTGGTGTTATAAAGTTTAATAGTGCTGTTCAAGTGTTGTACATTTGACCTTAATGGATAGAAATTCTCTGGTTACCAAATGCAGCATGTCAGAGAGAAGGCTGTGCTGCAAACTACTTCTTTATAACATTATTTTATCTATGTAAAATATTTTTATCCTGCCTTTCTCCTAAAAAAAGAATCCAAGGCGGCATACATTTTATTTGTGAACATATCTGAACGCTTAAAAGCAATAAATTATTCAAATATTTTAAAAGAATATTTAAAATGTTAAGATAAAAGCTTTACTAAAACAGATTTTAAAGACAACAACAAAATACAAACCATCCTATTCTAAAATCCCTCTTAGACAGTCGGTCACTAACAGAAACCCTACCTGAAGACCAAGGTCTTCATCTGTTTGCAGAAAGGCAACAAAAATGGGACCAGCCTGGCCTTCTGTGTGAAGGAGTTCCTGATTCTGGGAGCGGAGAAAGAGAAGGCCCTCTCTGTGTCCCCACCAAGCGCACCCATGAGGCTGATAAGACTGAGAGAAAGGCCTTCTCTGATTATCTTAAGCTCCAAAAGGAAGATGCAATCTTGAGACAGCTGTGACCCAAGCCGTTCAGGGCTTTATAGGTTAAAACCAGCATTTCGAATTGCACCCAGAAACAGATCGGGAGCCAATGGAGCTGCTATAACCAGAGGAGGGCGTGATCTCTGTAATCTGCCCTATTTAACAATTAAGATGTAGCATTTGAACCCCCTGAAGTTTCTGAACACTTTGCAAATGTAGCCCCATGTAGATCACATTTTAGTAATCCAGCGGAATGTAACTACAGCTTGTTTCACTGTGGCCAGATCAGGAACAGGAACACCTTGCATACTAGTTTTAATTGTGCAAAGGCACTCCTGGCCACCGCCAAAACCTGGGCATCCAGGCTCAGAGGTGAATCCAGGAGCACCTCTAAGCTATGCACCTGTGTTTTTACAGGGAGTGTAACCCCATTCAACACAGGCGGCATCCCTATTCCTTGATCTGCCTTTTGACTAAGCAGGAGCACATTAACTTTCAGTATTCAAGGATTTCTGCTATATGTAGGTTTATTCAGCTCATTAGTCCTTATACGCAGCACAACAGGTTCACTGCCATAGCGAGAACTGAAACTTCCCCAAATTAAACAGCGGAGAAAGCCAATACACCTTTCTGAAAATTGAAAGGGAGGCAGGCATTTTAAAATTGTACCTTTTGTTGATGTTTGTTTTTGCTTCTTTACTTTGGCATTCAGTATCTGCTGTACAATATATGTAGCACCTGGAGTCTGCTCTTCATTCTCAAGTCTGGAATGAACTTTCTTGACTGCATTCGTTGCATTAAGAGCTAAAGGAATTTTTAAAATGATTCAAATTTTGTGTTTTAAATTAGGCTAAAACACCCCAATATATAATTTTAAAAAGTGCCATGCTTTGCTCAAATTAGAAAACAGCTGCACTGCCAATCATCCTTTCTGTCATAGCAATCCCCATCAGTTACTATTTTATTTTCAAGTGTTTTATTTTGAAAAAAGTAAATAAACTGAACCTGCACCTCCCAGTGAGTGACAAACTGCTGCTGGAGTCAAAAGTACATTTCCTTCATGTGATGACACAATAGTTACATGTTGTTTAGAAGCCTCTTTTTCGCAATTGTCCACAGAATTTTCTTCATTCAGCAGGTGAAGCATCCTAAGAACCAACATTGCACAATTTTTATTTTTATTTATTCAAACTATTTCTACCTTCCCATCTCCTAAAAAAGGACCCAAGGCAGCTTACGTACATAATTAAAAACAGTAAATTCTTCAAATGTTAAAGAATTACCGGTAATAACATTTTTAAAATGTTCAGTAAAAGCATTGTGAAAAACAGATTTAGAAGCAACAAAATATAAACTATCCCATTTATTGTCTCCTAAATAGTCAGTAAGGAAAAGCCTGTCTGAAGAGAAAGGTCTTTGTCTGCTGGTCGAAGAACAAAGATGAGCCAAAGATGGGAGGGAGATTCAGAGCAGCGACAAAGAAGGCCCTCTCTTGTGTTTCCCCCACCCAGTACACCTGCGAAGGTAATGGAACGGAGAGAAAGGCTTCCTCTGGTGATCTTAAAATCTGGGCAGGCTCATGAAGGAAGGTGCGATCCTTGACACAGCTTAGAGCCAAGACATTTAGGGCTCTATAGGTTAAAATCAGCACACTTAATTGTGCCTGTAAAGGGCCCGGATATTATACAGAGTTCTATCTCTGTGTGGGTATTCTTCAATCCTGCTTTATCATAGGAGGCCAAAGTGGCCTCTGTGAATATATTTACATAGCATCAGTTATAGCCATTTTTTAAGGTCAGCCAGAGTGCCCCACATTCTGGTGCTTCCTCTGTTGTGGTGCTCCAACTCTGGAATATCCTCGTCCACAAGGTATGCTTGGTGCCAACTTTACTAACATTTCAGGAACAGGCTAAGGCTCTTCTGCTCATCCTGATATTTATGAATATTCAGTTGCCACTATACTGAATCTTGCTGTTGATTTAGAAACGAATACATTCTTATTTATACATTGATGTTATTAAATGAGTATTTTATTGCTGCTGTTTTAACACTGTCATTACCTGCTGCTGGACAGTGTGGGACACAATGACAACAACATTTCAAGAGAGAACAGACATTTCACTCCATTAACTCTGCCCAGAGTCCAGCAATTCTTGGCTCTTCTCTCCTTATACTTTACAGCCTGAAATAACTTACATTCCTTATTCTTTTTGTGCCAGACCAGTGGTGACCAGTAAGAAGATAAGCATCTATTGTATGATCGCTGAGTGATTTGCAATAGATCCATAGAGATTTTAAGACACCTAACTATATTAATATACTATACCAAGAACAAGACTTTTTTTGCCTACATTTGGCTGCTGAGAAAGAATTCTTCTAGGAAAACCAAGCACAACATTTTACTTGAAAGGATCTGTGGACTTGGTCCCAGCATGGTTCACAAGTTCCTGGGCTTCTAGTGCTCAGAGGGGTATTTGTTCCTTAAGTTTTCCTGTTTGGCCACCCATGTCAACCATTATTTTGCATTTGAATCTGGGTGATGGACCAAGAGGTTCCAGTCAGAACACAATACTGTAGATCTGTCAATTCTTAAATCTTCCCACCAGCTCACAGTCTATTTTATTTCTGATTTCTGTAACCTCTCCAAAATCATTTTTCAACCCTAAAGGCCTGTTAACACGCTTCAGGTCAATCATATCATCCAGTGGGGGAAGGTCTTTACCAAGGGCCACTTAAACAAAATACTGCAGCAGATATCCTTCAACTGCTTTCACTGCCTGCTTTTTGTGCTTAGGTTCTTAAGCAGGTTTTGTGAGACAGAGATGCACACTAACCTCTTGGTGTCAATGTTGGATCTGAATTTCAAATGCACCCCATTCTCACCATTAGTCTTGCACACAGAAGGGCATTCTTCTGCTTCATTAAGAGCCTTCCAGGAAAGAGATACAATATTTCAAACATTGTATGGGAATACTTTACACCAATATATTTTGCATAGATATACTTCCCAGGCTGACAGTCACCCTGGGTCAATAGAAAGCATAACTGCGACACACACATTTAAGGAACGCACTGAATAGATTTTACACCATGCAAAAGAAAATAAATGATTCAGAATTACTTAGAGCATCTTCTTCCATTGAGTCTGAAAATAATCAAGGCACTTGAAAGTCTTGTGAAAGAATTACAATACACATTTATGCTGGAGGTCATTTCATCTGCATGTGTCTCCTCTCAAACAGCACATGCGCTGGCATTTCAGAACCACATTTCCACAATAGGATTGACATATGGCATGATTGTAAAGATTGCAGAAAACAGACTGCTGAACAAGAGACTGTAGTCTAATGCCCAGAACTGAGCTGCAGAGAGGGACGTGTCCGTGTCCTGTTGCTTTTAGTGTATTACCTGGGGATCCATGACAGACTCACTAAGAATGGAGAGCTGTGTAGGGGGATCACACTTTTGTATGATGGGGCCTTGAGACGATTCCACATCATAATCAGGAGCTACTGTCACATTTGGAAAACCTTGGAAATGGGGAGCAAAATTTTACATTAAAATTAGCAAAAGAAATGAGGGCTTCTAAGCCACTAGGAAGAGTACAGAAATTGATCTTGTTCCACTGTATCAGAAATGCGCTATTTCTATCTCACTGCCAAAGAAACATACTGTTTACAGGGATCTCTGTGTTGCCTTTCACAGAAACACTATTATACAGTGGGGTCTTGACTTGAGAACTTAATCCGTATTGGAAGGCGGTTCTCAAGTCAAAACATTCTCAGGTCAAATCTGCATTTCCCATAGGAATGCATTGAAAACCATTTGATCCGTATCTGCTCTTTTTCGTCCATAGAAACACTAGGAAGAGTACAGAAATTGATCTTGTTCCACTGTATCAGAAATGCGCTATTTCTATCTCACTGCCAAAGAACCACACTGTTTACAGGGATACCTATGTTGCCTTTCACAGAAGCACTATTATATTTCAACAATTGCCAATGTATAATATTACAATGATTACAATTTGATCCATTTTCTCTTGTCAAATCTGCATTTCCCATAGGAATGCATTGAAAACCATTTGATCCGTATCTGCTCTTTTTCGTCCATAGAAACTAATGGGAAGCTGCTATTCCGCCTTCGACCACTAGAGGGGGATATTTTGTTTCTTTTTTTCTTAGGTCAAGAAAGGTTCAGGGAAGGCAGGGAAAATACAGTCCAGGCAGTCCAGTACCAGGCAGTCTGAAGACTGTCTCCCAATCCACTCTCTAAATGCTGGGAGGAGTGAGGAAGCAGACAGGCACCCTTTTCACTGGCCAACAGTTAACTGAAAGTTCATATTTGGCACTTTCCATGCCTCCCACGTGGTTTTTTTTTCAGTTCTTAACTCAAATCTAAGTATGTAAGTCAAGTCAATATTCTCCTAAGAGAGTGGTTCTTAAGTCAAAATGTTCTTAACTCAAGCCGTTCTTAAGTCAAGACCCCACTGTATTTCAACAATTGCCAGTGTATAATATTACAATGATTACAATCTGATCCATTTTCTCTTGCTAAATTAATCTTATGGGACAACCGAGAACTGAACATTCGGAATAAGCTATTTTAGTGGAAAGGTATGAATGGATAGTGGCATTTTTTTACTTTAGATCAATTGACTTGCTAGGGTGATGAATCTCTAATTTTCTAAACTGAAGGCTGGGTAAAGTTTTCTCAATCCTGTTGAATAACAGTACTTAGTTATAGAATTTATTGATATCTATACTCTGCAGTTTAGATTGCTTCAGCATTTCTCCTGGTTTTGAATACTGGTATATTGATTGAATCAGCACAGGGGAGAAAAGCATTAACATTTATTTATAATCTTTGAATGCTAGTCAATAAGTATGATATCCAAGGATGGAGGCAAATATGAAATAAGAATTGGATTGACCTATTTTGTCTACTTCTATGCTCACTATTATCTATGAATTTAAAGTGGTAGTTTATTCAGCAGAAAATTATGTTCCATATATATTGGACACAAAAATTACTTCCAAAACAGTCGTGAGTAATCCTGCTAATTGATGGCAGTGCAATACACCTGCTGCATTTCTTAAACACACACTTTGGTTATAACTAGTCATACTCCCTTTCTGGTGAATATTACAATTCATTTTAATTCTGTGCTGGAGCAACCTTTGAATTTTGTAAATGTAAATATTTTGCTAAATTATCTCCCTGTCCCATGGAAATTAACCAAGAGTCAAAGGCAATGGATTCTCCATGCCATTATGGTATCTAAATGGTTGCTACTGTAAGACTGGAAGAACAAATGCCCACCTTCCATTCATCAGTGGATACAGGACCTCTTTCAAGATATGAATACATGGCAGACAGGTGTCAACAGCACAAGATCCCTATCCTGATATTTGGGCATCTTTTAGTGAAAACCATACCTAGATTCTTTTTGTGTACACAGAGACCTTTTTCATAAAACTGTTATTACTGTTCTATTTCTGCACCACCTCCACCAGATTTGTTTTTAAACCTTCATTTGAAAGTGGTTTTATAAAATTTATCAGCTAAAATGGTGATTCAGTGTTTCTAATACACTACTAGTGTAGATAGTTATGATGCTGGAGGGGATATTCTGAGCCACATGGGAACAATACGTCTTCCACAAATATCGATTTACTTTAATAGTAATCTCTGCAATAGGCTTTAGGTAGCTCCTTTGCATATATCACAGCAAGATTAGGAGCATAGCTGTGGCTATCTTCTTTGTATTAACACATTAGGAAACATGGAACATGCATTGCTGATCTGTAACTTTCATGTCTGATTTCCTACAACTGCTAAAGAAGAACAACTGGATTAATATAAAGTCACATTTCAGCTAATAAAATTCACCTAACTGTCGGTGAGGGGCATCTCCAAACAGGTCTTTCACGACAGCCAGGGCCTGATCGGACCTCTCCAGGACATCCTGCAGCTGGTACTGATCAGACATAATCTAGAAAGGAATGACAAGAAACAGGCACCTTGTGTCTCAAATCCTCTTATGTCTTCTCCCCAAAACAGAACCAAGTGCCACTCTTATACATAATATATATTAATATAAACACTTACTAGTTACATCCCATTACCGTAACATGTTCTCTGCTATGCTGCCTTTAAAGGTGTTCAGAAACTTCATTGGCTTCAAAACACTACAGCCAGATCGTTAACCGGAGCTCATACTTCCCCTGTTACAATACCTCCACCAGCTGATAATTTGTTTGCCGGCACAATTCAAAGCATTATAAAGCCCTAAACTACTCGGGTCCAAGCCATGTATGTCCATGTATGAGCCTCCTCAGGTTTAAAAATCATCAGGGGCAGCCTTTCTGTCACACCACCCTCAAACGTACATTTGATAAGGACATGAGAGAGGGCCTTTTCCACTGCTGCTCCCAAGCTACTGAACTCCCTCCCACAGGAGACCAAGCTGGCCTCCCCTAGGCAAGCAAAGACTTTTCTCTTCAGGCAGGCTTGATCTCAGTAACCGGGTGCCTAAGAGTTGGCCTGCTCTTTTATTTTGCTGTTTGTTTTTCATTCCCTCCCCCCTTTCAGTTTTATATGTTTGTTTTTAACATTTTAAGCCACCTTGAGTCATCTTGAGGAGCAAGGGAGGGAGGAAAATCCTGAAAAGTGTTGCCATAAGTTAGAGTCGATTTGATGGCACAGGATTATTGTAATACATAGGAGGGACATAGCAAGAGACTTGAGGGAACTCCAAGGGTCGCAGAAGTTTTAAAAAAAAACCCTTAGAGAGCAAAGGGAGAAACTCAAAACAAGAACTGAGCATGCAGTGCCTACAGGAAACTGACAGGGAGATGGGACCAAAAAACAAGGTAGGAGGGAAAGAAGGATTATGGAAGGCATCGTCAACTGAATGGAAATGTGAAATCCATGCTGCAACATTTTCTCTAGATCCCATTACAAGTACAGTGGTGCCTAGCAAGACAATGTTAATTCGTTCCGCGAAAAACGCTGTCTTGCAAAAACATCGTCTTGCGAAACGCAGTTCCCCATTGGAATGCACTGAAATCTATTTAATGCGTTCCAATGGGGAAAAATAATCATCTTGCGAAAATCGTCCACAGAAAACATCCTGCAAAGCGCAACAGTGATCGCAAAAAACAATCAGCCTGCGGATTAATCGTCTTGCGAGGCAATTGCCTTGCGAGGCACCACTGTAATTTATTTCAGTTTTTTTTTTAATTTAGAGGTATGGTCATGTAAGTTCCAGTCAGTACTTCTGTAACTACCTGAAACTGTCTGAAGACCACATGCAATGAGGAAAACATGCCAGTCCTGCCCCCCTCTTTGCCTCAATCATGCAAAAGCCAAATTCCAAAGAGAGGGCAGGGGTCTCTATTTCTGCATGTTCCCCAAGACCCGACATGGACACAACAACCTTCCCTCTTCAGACTCCCTGCTGAGTGATGATGGAGGGATGGGGCAAGCATGCTCCCCTCACTGCATCTTTTCACCACTTGCTTTCAGACCAGCTAAATAAGCCTGAAACAATTCTAGGAACAGAAAAAAAAACATGTGATTAACATGCAGCCTTGCACTGTAGCCACATAGAAAGGCACAGCTGTGGAAGAAGCTTGTGTCCTTTAGTTTGATTCTGTAGTCAACCAGTTGCCTAAATCAAGACTGCAGTGTACAGGAACACACACGGTACATTCTGAGAGACAACGGCCAGAATCCTATAGCAATTTTAGTCCACAGTATGTGAAATCACACAAGCCACAATGCATGTATCAGCTGCAAGCCTGGTCTCATGAACACCACAAAACCAGGTACATGGCCATCTTATTAATCAGCATTTCACCTATTCCAAAATAAAACAGAATTCTGGCCCTTGTCAACTGTGACAATTGCAGGAAATCTGTACGCTAACTCTTACTTCTTTCATCAAAGCCAGTTTCTTTTTTTCCAGAGATTCGGGAGCTCTCAGCCTCTGCTTCTTCCATTTACTCTTTAGTGCTTTTTCTTGCAGTTCCAAGTGTACAAGAGCTTTGTTCTTTGACTTGTGCCTTTCATGTCTTAGAGCCTGGACAGGGAGAGATGTTTCCTTTAAATCTGAACCAAGAAAGATAAATGATGATAGCCTACTACATAACAGCTGGATAGCTTCCTCTTTAATTAAAAAACATTCACTCCTCAATGGTTTCTAGTAGATGTCATGACTACAAAGTATACAAAACTTATTTCTGAGGCTTCTATAACTACAATACTCTGTGCTGGAGCACTCTTTCACCCTCTGGGTTATACTCTAGCAATCTGTAACAACTTGTGCTACTTTACAACCCTGTTTACTTGATTCACACTCGCAAATGGGACTCCATGTCTCTCTGTGATAAACAGATAAAATGGATTAAGATTGCATGGCCAATGGTATCCATGAGATGAAGTGGAGTCCCGTCCTAGAAAACACACCTAGTGCCTCAGTCTGCTTTCATCTTCCCTTCCCATTCCATTTCTTTCTTCCTTTTTTCTTCTTCTTCTGAAGATTTGCTAATCTAGCGCTATGGCAGCTGGCCAGCCAACAAAAAGAAGGAGACTGAAAGAGAAGGGAGGAAGTTTTAAGGCTTCTCTGCTCTAACTGTGCCTCCTGATGAAAGCAGACCGAGGCACTAGGTGAGGGGAAGAGAGGATACAAATGGCAGCCAGTTTCTTTGCTGCCCTATCTCGCTCACTGCTGCTGAAGCCAGCTGGAATGGCTTGAAATAAAATACTGTACACTCCTCCTCATCTTCAAAAGCAGACACAATACCTGAACCAACATGACATTTGATTTCAAAAAAGGAAAAGTCCCAGCAATGAATGAAAATACAATGGATTGTGTGTGTGTGTGTGTGTGTGTGGGAACTCCAGGTGATTCACATTGACTTTTACTTTATGTAGTCAACAGAAAATAATGCAAATCAGTTTGTTCCAATCCCAGGGCTTTTTCTCCATTATTTATCAATGTACAGTAGCTGCACCCTAAAGCAAAGCAGAAAGGAGTGGCTTTCCAATTTTGGCAAAAGAGACAGGGGCTACTATAACCCCAACATACCTACAGCTTACCTTATCAAAGTTTGTCTTTGTCCCTATTCCTCTCCTTAGCCAAATTCCAACAGGATAAAAGTTCTATGGACAGATATATGTTGGCCACAATGAAGGTACAGGTTCTTGGACCCCACCCTCCATATTATATGTGATTGGAGCAGATCCATTTTAAAATAACAGTTCAGCTACTTTCACGGCTGAGAAACCCAAACCGCTTTAATATATATAATATATCTCTAGATACATTTGCAGCTTACAATATCCTCAGGAGTTGCACGATGTACGGTAAGATCATGAATAGTGCTCTGGAAAAAAAACAGAACATAAGGATTAAACAATGAAACAAAGCACAGCAAAGATGTCTTCAACATTGTTCCGTCTGTCTTCCATTATCCCAGGACAGCTAATAACTTACACGACAAAACAATATCGTGCAACAGAGTTGAGCAGCTCCAGTAAAGTCAGCAGAAAACTTTGGCAGTTCCAGAGTCATATGGACCACCAATTTTTAAAAAAAAAAAAATTAAAAACTTTTTAAAATAAGAGGCTTCATGGTAGCACTGCACCTAGTAATGTTCCAAATGTTTTGGACAATTCCCATATACCCCAGACAGTACTGCAAAGCAAGAAAACATATTTCCTGCCTGTGTTTCAAAAGAACAAAGAAAGCATTTTCAAATGATGGTGGTTCTTTGTAAGTTATTTCCATCAGGTCATTAGAAATGCAAATATTAGATTACACCATGCAGGTAAACTCTTGTTATGAAAATGCTCAATCTGATTTACAGTTTTATCCTACAGAGGTCCCGCTGAGTTCAAGAGAGTGTATGCAGTATCTGGGTAGGTCTGCATTTTTAAAAGAACAGCTGGAAATTATGAAGTGTTAGAACTGCACACCACCAGGTCTTCCCCTTCTTCTTCACAGATATCTTTATTTCTTATCTTCAACAGACCATTCTGAAAAGGCTAAATAACAGCTCTTGCTTGCCAAATCCTGAATAAGTTAGCTTTTCCAAACTCTTTGGATACACTTTCACAATGCTCGTTCACTCTGAAACAAATCTTGCTCTCTTACATCTTAAAAAGCATACTTAACACTGGAGCTCCAGGGCTACACTTGAAAACTACATCTAAACAAACAAACACCAGACCACAATCTGATTTTTTTAAAAATGTTACAAGGATTTCTGCATCTTGAAAAGTTGTCATTTACTTCCATGACAGCATTGCTTTGACCAGGAAATAATATCACCCTGGGTCGCACCAGCATTTTACCCGGAACCCCTCTGCAAGGAAGATGGAGCTCTCAGCCTCTGCTTCTTCCATTTACTCTTTAGTGCTTTTTCTTGCAGTTCCAAGTGTACAAGAGCTTTGTTCTTTGACTTGTGCCTTTCATGTCTTAGAGCCTGGACAGGGAGAGATGTTTCCTTTAAATCTGAACCAAGAAAGATAAATGATGATAGCCTACTACATAACAGCTGGATAGCTTCCTCTTTAATTAAAAAACATTCACTCCTCAATGGTTTCTAGTAGATGTCATGACTACAAAGTATACAAAACTTATTTCTGAGTTTTTACGGGGTGGGGCAGCCTGGTACAAACTACCGATGGGGGCCTGCCCGCTATCCAAGTATACAAAACTTATTTCTGAGTTTTTAAGGGGGGGGCGGCCTGGTACAAGCTACCGATGGTACAAGCTCTCCTCCACCCTCTTTTATATGGTCAGCTTCCGACCTCAAAAAGAGGAGGGTGGGATTAGAAAGCTTAATCGGTGCCTTGTGAGCCTCCGACCTCCCCCGAACAGGTTTGTCTGCTCAGTCCAGGCCATGGTAATAGCTGTCGACCATCTCTCGTCCAAATCTCCAGGTGCGAGCAGGGAACCGGCCTTCTCAACCCGCATTTATGAGGCCAGAATCAGCGAAAAGGCAATTTGTTTTTAGGGCAGGGGAAAAGGGGCGCGATCCCCTTCACGCCCCGGCCACTTACATCCCACTCTTGCTTCGCCGGTGTTTTTTTCCTTCTGGCCTTGGGCGGTTTCCTCCCGGTTCCTGTCGGGAAGCGGCTTACTCTCCACAGGGACATGCTAAAATACAGTAAGCACCGACCCACCCCAGCCCAGCCTCGGCGACAGAGACCTCGCTCGCCGCGACACCCGGCAAGCCGTAAAGCGAACGCGGCTCAAAACTGCCGCCGACGCTGCCTGGGGGCCGCCCTTCTCGCGCCCGTTGCCGTGGAAACCGCGCCTCCCCTCCCGCGGTGGGAGGGGGGAAGAACCTGCTCTTCCAGGCCGGGAGCGGCTCGTGGTCACATCAGTGATTCCTAACCTTGGTTTACTCAGGTGTTTTTGGACTGCAACTCCCAGAAGCCTTCACCACCGGCTGGGGTTTCTGGGAGTTGCAGTTCAAAAACACCTGAGGACCCCAAGGTTAAGAACCACTGAAATAAATGACGGGGGAACCGTGCATTTTGGGGTGAAGAAAGGCGACTTGTCGAAGGGCGCGCCTTCAAGGAAAGGGGGAATCAGGAACAGGACGCGCGGTCGTGGAAAGGATACAAATGCAGGCACTCTTTATTCGTCCATTACGAAAATAAAAGGCAACCCCCCCCAAAAAAAAACAGCGAGCTTTCGATGATGAATCATTTTCTTCAAAGCTGTGCATCAAGTTCTTGTGGGTATACAGTACTGTCATTAATATCCCAAATCCACACTGTGATTAATGGTCCAAATTCAACCTGACCTCAACCTCATCACCGGTGTCAATTTGGGACATTAATAACAGCATGCAAGTTTGGGGCTACCCACAAGAACTCGATGCACAGCTTTGAAGAAGATGATTTAACATCAAAAGCTTGCTGGCTGTGTTTTGCGTTTTTGTTTTATTTTCTTAATGGCTGATTAAAGGTATCACCTATTCCTTAAAGGAAAAGCTCCCCTAAGGTTGGCAGCTTTTACTTTTAATAGAAGAATTCTAAAACCACTTCCTTTTCCCCTCCCAGAAAAATGGGCTGGGTGTGGTCCTTGTTTCACATCTTGTTACACAGGTAATGTTTTGTTTTAGTTCCTGGGCACTTTGGTTCCCAACTCAAGACCTGGTTCTTTAGGCAGGCCTTCCCTCCTGTCAATACTTAATTTATTGTTATCCTTGTGGTTTAAATGTTGTTGTTTATTTTATTTTATTATTATTGTATGTTGTTAGCCGCCCAGAGTAGACTTCGGTCTAGATAGGTGGGATATAAATTAAATAAATAATATATATTGAATGCTTTTTTACCAACCATGCAGAGGGGTGAACACATTTTTATTGTCCTGTTTCATCTGAACTTTGATGGAGAAAGTGAAAAAATAGAAGCAAAGATTCTGCTATGTTTTATTGGACTTTTTAATCCTTAATTTAGCGGGGGAGGGGGCAATGGAGATATTGCCCATTTTCTGAATTAAAATTTACTTAATCTCTGCAATGTACTATTTGGTTCTTTAGTAATCACTTAAATTTCAATGCTGGAAATGTTAATTTAAAAGTAATCAATTACAGCTCTATTTCTGTGGTTAAACCCCGTTTAGTTGCTATTATAATTAACTGACCTTGGTTGCAGAGATCATATAACACTCCTATGACAGCCAATCAGTTTCAAGGCACAATTCAAAGTGTGGGTTTTAACCTATTGGGCCCTATCTCAAAGACTGTATCTCCCATTATGAGCCGGCTCGGGTATTAAGATCATCAGGAGAGGTTTTTCTCTTGGTTCTGCCACCTTCACAGGTGCATCTAATGGGGGCACTGGAGGGGGGCCTTGTCTGTGGCTGCTCCCAGACTTTGGAACTCCCTCCCACAGGAAGCCAGACTGGCCCCACCTTTGGACTCATTGTTCTTAGCTTTAAATTTTTTCTTTTAACAATGTAAACTACCATTGTACACTGCTTTCAGCTTTAAATATTGTTTGTCAAGGATGTATGCTGCCTTGGGTCCTTTTTTCAAAGAGAAAGGCAGGGTAAAAATATTTTAAATAAATATATAAATTCATCAGTGAAAGTTGTTGGGGGCTGTAAAGAGATGGGGAAATCTTTAATTTCTGGAAATCACTGTTAAAAACCATCCAGCTAGCAGGAATTTTTAGAAATTAAAACTCCCTACCTCCATTCTGTATTGGCCTCCCCATGATGAAAGGGACCTCAAGGGAGCCTTAGGACCTTCAGGAGAAAATCAGACATTTATTGTGAGTGATGTCATCAGACTTAAATGGCATAAATTACAACATTGGATTTCAATCAGTTATAACTGTTCCCCCATGTCAACATTTCTGATAATGTTGGTTTTGGTCTTGGGCATTGCATACCTAACTCAAAGATGTGCCAGCTATGGGAATAGTAATTTATTTATTTTTATTTAAAATATATTTTAGCCTGCCTTTCTCCTTAAAAAGGACCCAAGGCAGCTTATGTCATTATAATACAGCATTTTAAAGCTAACAACACTGAGTTTCCAATTACTAAAAAGAAGCAAACCATATTAGGAAACATAAGTAACACCAAAACACATTCAAAGCAGAAAGGTACAACAAGCCATTAAAAAAGCCTACTCAGGCAGCTAGTTACTCAGGGAAAGCTTGTCTGAAGAAAAAGGTCTTTGCCTGCTTGCAAAAGGACAATAAAGATGGGATCAGCCTGGATTTCTGTGGGAGGGAGTTTCAAAGTCTGGGAGTAACAATGAGAATACCCTCTCCTGCATTCCCACCAAACAGACCTATGAAGGTGGCAGGGCTTAGAGAAAAGCTTGTCCTGATCTTAAGACTTGAGTAGGCTCATAAAGGGAGATGTAGTTTTTGAAACAGCTTGGACCCATTTAGGGCTTGACAGGTTAGAACCGATATCTGGCAGTTGAGTCATGGCAATTGGACTTCTTTTTTATTAGGCTGAAACATTTTGCTGCTCATCCAAGTAGCTTCTTCAGTCTGGGGGAGAGTTAGTAGGAGATCCTTGAGGATACATCAGGGGTCTCCTACCAACTCTCTTCAGACTGGAAACGTTGTTTGGATGAGTAGCAAAACGTTTCAACAAAACAAGAAAGAAGTCTAGTTGCCGCAAGTCAACTTCCAGATAACCTCACCGGAGTGACCGAGGATCTTCACAGTTAGAACCAATACTTTTGAATTCTGGCCGGAAAGGGATTGGCAGCTAGTGGAGCTGCTGTAAACAGGGGTTATATGATCACTGGGACCAGCCCCACTCAGGAATTTGCCTGCCATGTTTTGAACCTGCATAATAATCATATATCATCAAGTCAATTTTGAAATATAGTGACCGTTTCTCAAGGTTTTCCAGGTATAGAATACTCAGAAGTGGTTTAACATTCCAGTCTTCTGGGGGTGCCCTGAGACTGTGCAGCTTGCCCAAGGCGATGCAGGCTGGCTCTTCTCCCAGGAGGCACAGGGGAGAATTTAACTCCCAGCCTCCCAGACACCAGGGATGTTGACAAGTCTTTGGGTCCGAATCCCAAGCCCAAGCCCAAGTCCTTGGTACCAAGTCCAAAGTCTGTCTCTATTAAAAACAAGCTTTGTCCCCAGAAAAAAAAGGGAAGAAGGAGTGGGCAGGCTGCAAGTTGAGTCTGAGTCATTGAAAAAACATTGAGTCGAATCCTGTGTGACTTAAGTCTAACTTGTCTCAAGTCTCCATCCCTGCCAGATATCTATAAAGGTAAAGGTAAAGGTTCCCCTTGACAATTTTTGTCCAGTCGTGTTCGACTCTAGGGGGTGGTGCTCATCCCTGTTTCCAAGCCATAGAGCCAGCGTTTTGTCCAAAGACAATCTTCCGTGGTCACATGGCCAGTGCGACTTAGACACGGAACGCTGTTACCTTCCCACCGAGGTGATCCCTATTTATCTACCTGTCTACCTGCATTTGCATGCTATCTATACCACTGAGCTATCTAGCCAGTCCAGGAACAGGGAAGGGGCTAGGATTAGGTACAAGCCTCTCCTGCTAACAGAGTGGTGTGCTGGAATACAGTGGGGACCCCTTATCCGTGGGATCAGTATCCACTGATTCACTTATCCAGTGTGAATATATTTAAAATATGAAAAGAAAAAATATAGAAAAAATAATATATATTTCTAAAGGCGAATTTTCCAGAACTGGCCACTACAGGAAGTGTTTGCCATTAAAATAGCGTTCTGCATTTTTCAGCATCTGCTGGGGGTTTGGAAACAAACCCCATGGATATGGGAGTCCTACTGTAATTAAATTGCTGGCTAAAATATGCTGGTAGGAAAGAGCAGAAAAGGAGTAGGGTGAAGGAGGACTGAAGTTATGTCAAATCATGTTTGTTTGTTTTTACCTCAGAAGGACATGGGCACAGTGCAGTCACAAAGCTATGTCAATGTAAGGATAATCCTGAATAATTTCCAGCATGTATATGTTGGGAGGGGTTTGAATTAAGCACAGATTTGGCCTGTTAAAATTGCACTTTATACAGTATAGTCTCCACTGAAACATAGCAGGAGCAATTGTATTCCCACAGTGCTCAGTGAGAAAATCTTGCAAAGATACTATGAAACAACAGTAAGATCCTCTCGGGATATTCTCTTACTATAGAAAAGATCTTCACAATATTCTTAGACCAAAGGAACGTTTTAAATTCTGTTAGGTTCCCAGTTTCAGGAGAAGGGTGAGATGCAAATAAACGATAGCATCGCCACACCTTTCCTAGATTTTATCCCATTTCTTTAGGTAAGCCGAAGGAACTGTCGCAATCTAGACTGTGGCACTGATGCCCAAAATGTGCATGTAATTAAATACTCAGTACTTTCCCATCACCTTGAAAACGGTCCTGCGGAGAGACCGGGCATGCGGGTCTGTGTGTACAACTAACTGGCCACGTGGCAAACGCGGAGGCCAAACCACCCGAGAGCCCCATTCGCCCGGAGCTGCGCTTCGAACTGGGCAGGGCGGATTCCGGGCGTGGAGGTCGGTGTCTTGTCAAGGGGTGGATTCTCCGCGAAGCACGAGCGGGACACCTTGAAAACGGTCCTGCGGAGAGACCGGGCATGCGGGTCTGTGTGTACAACTAACTGGCCACGTGGCAAACGCGGAGGCCAAACCACCCGAGAGCCCCATTCGCCCGGAGCTGCGCTTCGAACTGGGCAGGGCGGATTCCGGGCGTGGAGGTCGGTGTCTTGTCAAGGGGTGGATTCTCCGCGAAGCACGAGCGGGAAGCCGCGTTTCTTTCGGGTGGTTACCCTCGTGAATGACGGGTCCCGCC